TTGAATATTGATTTTTTATAATCAATAAAATAACGAAACAATTTACTCACGTATACGGCAACTGAAAATCGTTTATGTATAAACATTCTTAATTTAAGATGACAAGCGTAACAGCATACGTGAGAGCCAAACAGAGAAACTGTAAACAAAACGACCATCGGTTTTATTGCTTCGACTTCCGCTTATTATATAAAACATTGGGTTTTATTTTAATTCTTGACGGTGAAATTCAGAATTGGTTGATTATAAACATGTCTATTTCACATTCGCGGAACCAAGTGAACAAATGCAGGTCTGTAATGTTAAAGTCGATGTAAATAAGCGTGCTACCCTTATGTTTCAACCGAGTTTTTCCTTTAACAAATTTTGTGTCTACCAAATTGGGTTGGTTGGGGTGTAATACTAATAATAAGTGTTGCCTTTAATTTAATCAATAAAATAAATTGACTTCATTAATTTTTTTTGAACCACCTCTTAAGAAAATCTAAAAAATATGAATGGAATGATAAATCACAAGTACAAACTCATCATATTTTTTGCATTTTAGATAGGATTTATTCAGCAAAATTTAAGGGTGACGTCATCAATTTTTTTAGGAGGGATGAACAAATACATTTTGAACAAAAGTTTATCATGCTTATAATAACTTTAAAATATTCCCAAGATTTCAAAGCATTCGGTTTTCTAATTCCTGATTAAATCGATAAAATAAATTCACGCCTTCATTAATTTTTTTGAGTCACCCTGCATATGCAAATCCAAAAATATGATTGGAATGATAAATCACAAGTACAGACTCATCATATTTTGTACATTTTAGATACGATTTATTCGGCAAACTTTTGAGCTGACGTCATCAGTTTTTTGTAGAAGATAACCAAATATATTTTGACTAAAAATTTATTATGCTCTTTATAACCTTAAAACATCTGCAAGATTTCAAAGCATTCGGTTTTGTAGTTCCTGATTAAATCAATAAAATAAATTTACGCATTCATTAATTTTCTTGAGTCACCCTGTATATGCAAATCGAAAAAATTTGAATGGAATGATAAATCACAAGAAGAGACTCACCATATTTTGTACATTTTAGATAGGATTTTTTCAGCAAAATTTTGTGGTGACATCATAAATTTTTTAGGGGGGACGACCAAATGCGTTTTGATCAAAAATTTACCATGCTTATGATAATTTTAAAATATCTTCAAGATTTCGAAGCATTCGGTTTTGTAGTTCCTGAGTAAATCAGTAAAATAAATTTACGCTTTCATTTATTTTCTTGAATCGCCCTGTATATGCAAATCCAAAAAATATGAATGGAGTGATAGATCACAAGTACAGACTGATCATATTTTGTACATTTTAGATATGATTTATTCGGAAAATTTTCGAGCTGACGTCATCAAGTTTTTGGAGGGGATAAGCAAATATATTTTGACTAAACATTTATTATGCTCTTTATAACCTTAAAACATCTGCAAGATGTCAGAGCATTCCGTTTTGTAGTTCCTGATTAAATCAATAAAATATATTTACGCATTCATTAATTTTTTTGAGTCACTCTGTATATGCAAATCCAAAAAATATGAATGGAGTGATAAATGACAAGTACAGCCTCATCATATTTTGTACATTTTAGATATGATTTATTCGGCAAACTTTCGAGCTGACGTCATCAAGTTTTTGGAGGGGATAAGCAAATATATTTTGACTAAACATTTATTATGCTCTTTATGACCTTAAAACATCTGCAAGATTTCAGAGCATTCGGTTTTGTAGTTCCTGATTAAATCAATAAAATATATTTACGCATTCATTAATTTTTTTGAGTCACCCTGTATATGCAAATCCAAAAAATATGAATGGAGTGATAGATCACAAGTACAGACTCATCATATTTTGTACATTTTAGATATGATTTATTCCACAAACTTTTGAGCTGACGTCATCAAGTTTTTGGAGGGGATAAGCAAATATTTTTTGACTAAAGATTTATGATGCTCTTTATAGCCTTAAAACATCTGCAACATTTCAAAGCATTCTGGTTAGCAGATTAAAAATTAAATTTCAAAATGTTGTTTTATAATTTTGATTTTTTTTTCAAAAATCTGGACGTTTCGGGTGAAAAGTCGATTCAGAGTTGTAAACTACATGTGTAGGACTATGTTATTTTATACAATTGAAAACCCATTTACTATGTACAATTTTGAAGTGACGTCATCGCATTAGTGGTGGGGATGATTAGACAAATTTTGGTTAGCGTTTTACCATCTACATGATATTCTTAATATAAGTACAAAATTTCACAACAATCGGTCGAGTACTTTCGGAGATTATCTGTCTAATAAAAATCCGGGACAACAGACGGACAGACGGACAGACGGACAGACGGACGGACAGACGGACAGACAGACGGAAATGGGAGACCTATTTCTTCGTCTTCTAGGGGTTATGAAAGATCGAGAAAACGTAAAAGTAGAGAGTCGGCCGACGGACTCGATTACAATACTTCCTTTGCTTACGCTCGGGAAGTAAAAATTGAAAAAATTAGAGTTGAAAAAAAATTATAAAACCGAAACATGGCAAAATCGAAAAATTGAAAATAATAAGGAGAACGGGAAAAAATTGAGAAATCAAAAAATTATGCAATCGAAGAAAAAGAAAAACTGTGATAAAAAAATTTAAAATCGAAAACTTCAAAAATTTCTTAAAAAAATTGAAAAATCAAAAAAAGTAAAATTGAGAAATGTATTTGTTTATTTAAATGAAATTTACAGAGTGGATTGAAAGATAAAAATCAACGACTTGAATCACAGAAGAAACGAAAAATTGAAGAATCGAGAAACTGAAAATTGAGAAACTAAAAAATCGAAAAACGAAAAATTGTAAAATCGAATAATTGCCAAACTGAAAAATTTCAACTCGAAACATTGAAGAAATGAAAAAAATAAAAATTTTGAAGTAGAAAAATTGAAAAACTGAAAAAGTTAAAAGCTGAAAAAACGAAAAACTGTTATCAAAGAAAAATTTAAGACACAAAAAAATAAAAAACCAAAAAAATTGTGAAAGTGAAAAATAAAAATCAAGAACTTGAAAAAATGAAGAAACGAAAAATTAAGAATTGACAAACTAAAAAATCGAAAAATTGTGATATAAAAAAACTCTAAAATTGAGGAAAAAGGAAAAACAAAAAATTGTGAGATATAAAAAAACTGTAAAATCGAAAAATTGGAAAATTATAAATAAAAACCTGTAAAAATTGAACGCACGAAAAACTGTAAAGTTGAGAAATTGAAAGATAAAAATCAAAAACTTGAAAAATTAAAAATTGCAAATCGAAACATTGAAGGACTGAAAATCTGAAAAATTTGGAAGTTGAGAAATTGAAAAATTAAAGAAACTTAAAAATCGAACTAAAAAAATGAAATATTGTGAAATCGAAATACTGAAAATAAAAGAAATCGAAAAAGGGGATAATTGAAAAATCCAAAAATTGCAAAATCGAAAAATTTTAAAATTGGAAAATAAAAGATTAAAAACTTGAAAAATTGAAAAGATAAAGCAAATAAAAAAACGAGAAATTGTGATAAAATCGAGAAAATGGAAATTAAAAAATCGGAAAAACGATAAATAAAAATTAAGAAGTTGAAAAATTAAGAAAACGAAAAATTCGAAAACCGGAAAATTAAAAATTGAGAAATTGAAAAATCGAAACAATGAAAAATTCCAAATCGAAGAATCTAAAGAAACGAAAAATTGAAAAGTTGAAAAAAGATTATAAAACCAAAACATGACAAAATCGAAAAAAATAAAAAATACGGAAAATAGAAAAAAAATGGGAAATCAAAAAACGATAAAATTGAAGAAAAATAAAAAACGAAAAACTGTGATATAAGAAAATTATAAAATGGAAAACCTAAAAATTTCTTCGAAAAATTGAAAAATCAAAAAAAGTAAAATTAGAAATTTATTTATATATTTATTTAAATGAAAGTTGCAGTAAGACAAAAATCAAGAAATTGAAAAACAAAAGAAATGAAAAATTGAAAAAATTAAGGTTGAAAAAACGAAAAACCATGATCAACAAATTGTAAAATCTAAACATGGTGACACCAAAAAACTGTAAAATCGAAGAAAAAGGAAAAATCAAAAAAAGTAAAATTGAGCAATTGAAAGATGAAAATCAAGAACTTGAAAAACTGAAGAAACGAAAAATTGAAAAATCAAACAATTGTAAACTGAGGAAGGAAATAGTCGAAAAACGAAAAGTTGAAAAATTAAAAATCGAGAAATTAAAAAATTATAAATTAAAAATCTGAAAAATTGAAGAAAAAAAAATTACAACTGTTTTACAATTGTTTAATTTCACAATTTTCCGATTTTTTAGTTTGTCAATTTTTAAGTTTTCGGGGCTTAATTTTATCAAGTTCTTGATTTTTATTTTTCACTTTCTCAATTTAAATTTTTTTTTTCTTCAATTTTTCGATTTTAAATTCGTTGAGATCACAGTTTTTCGTTTTTGTTTTTTTTTCGATTTTACAATCTTTTGATGTAATTTTTTGTTTTTTCAACTTTTCAATATCACGACTTTAAAATTGTTCAATTTTTCATTTCTTCATTGTCTCGAGTTGTAATTTTTCAATTTGACAATTTTTCGTTCTTTGATTTGTTAGTTGTTAGAGAAAGTGAAAAATAAGTGAAGAATTTGAAAAAATAAAGAAAAGAAAAACTGAAAAATCGAAAAATTGTAGTATCCTAAAAATTATAAATCAAGAACTTGAAAAATTGAAGAAACGAAAAATCAAAAAACTGTAAAATTAAGAAATTGAAAAATAAAATCAAGAACTTGAAAAACTGAAGAAACGAAAAACTGGGATATCAAAGATTTGGACGAAGATAAATATATCTAGATTTTTCTAAAAATTAATAACCCTTATTAGAAGTTAAAATAAAAATATAGAAACAGATAAAAAACACACAAGGAGCGTAAAACGGAACAATTTATTTATTCGCATAACATCAGTACTTGTAAACAATCCCTATTTGAACATTTTGAACACAACTCAATAAATTAATTTAAATATCTAATAAAGCAGGCTTTGTCTCCTTGGCACATTTGATCACCGAATGCATGAATTTAATAAAACCCGTGTCCTTCGGTTTCTCCAGACCTCTTAGCAACCGATTCTTCATAACAGCGATGAACTCCTTGTTACTCAGTTGCCCATCCACTGAAACCAACCCATGAAACACACACCCCAACACACCCCCTACTTACAATTCTCATCAAAAATCGTAAACACTACGTGTATAACGTGATCACTGAGATCAACATGGGCGACAGTTTTGGCAACGTGTTTAAGCGTGGCTTGATCGATGGAGGCTCCAGCTATATGGTAAAAAGTCAACGCGGTATCAACATCGTTGATGTTGTTCAAGAAGTGAAAAAAGTTTAAATAGTCTTCTTTGGAAATGCCTTGGCCGTGATCCCTGAAACTATTTCATCTGTAACATTGTAAATAATCGTGCCAAAAGGGAAAACTAACGTCTTTTTCACCCGCTTTAACATCCTGGCCTTCTTTTTTTGGGGATACCCGGCGTAGGCGAGGAGAAGCTCGGTGAAATCAGCCTCACTTATGTTACCGTTGTCGTCTGGATGTTTTCTGCGAAACTCCAAACTCAAAATTTCCTTTTGGAGCTTTTCTTGGAAGTCTAGGAACTTTTCAATGGTGAGTTTGCCTTTCAGGTTTGGCCCGAAGAAGTAAGTCGTGAGGGCGGTGTTCACACCCTGAAGCGTCACCGTGAAATTAAAAAAAATATATATATATATTTTTTAAATTATATTTTCCCTTTTTCTTGCAATTAAGATCCGCCCCTCGGTCTGACCACGAATGAAAAAATCATCATGATTGAGATCGAAAATGGGCTTATCTTTTGGCTGAAATTGAAAAAATAAAGAAGATTGAGAAATCAAAAAATGATAACATCGAAGAAAAAAAAAAGAAGAATTGTGATATAAAAAAATAGTAAAATCGAAAAATTGAACCATTAAAAATCGAGAAATTGAAAAATTATAAATTAAGAACTTGAAAAATTGAAGACACAAAAAAGAGTAAAATTAAGAAATCGAAAAATAAAAATCAAAAACTTGGTAAATTAAAAAATCGAAAAATTACAAACTGAAATATTAAAGAAATGAAAATTTGAGCAATTTGGAAGTCGAGAAATTGCAAAATTATAAATTATTAATTTGAAAAATTGAAGAAACAAAAAAACCAAAAATAAAAAAAAAATGTAAAATTGGGAAAGTGAAAAATGAAATAAACTTATTAATATATTTAAAAAAAACTCGAAACTTTTCTTAGTATGAAAACTTGAAAAATCGAAAATTGAGAAACTCAGTAATTGAAAATCTAAAAATTGCAAATCGGAACACTGAAGAAATGAAAATTTGAAAAATTTGGAAGTCGAGAATTTGAAAAATTGAAAAATTAAAAATCGAGAAACTTAAAAATCGCAAAGCGCAAAACTGAAAAAATTAAATACTCTGAAATCGATATATTGAAAATAAAAGAAATTGCAAAATCAAAAAATTTTAGAATTGGAAAATCAAAGATTAAAAACTTGAAAAATGAAATAAACGAAAAATCGAAAAGATAAAGCAAATACAAAAACGAGAAATTGTGATAAAATCGAGAAAATGGAAATTAAAAATCGGAAAAATGAAAAATAAAAATCATGAACTTGGAAAATTGAAGAAACGAAAAATTGAAAAAATTAGAGTTGAAAAAAAATTGTAATACTCAAACATCGAACAATTGAAAAATTAAAGAAAATGGAAAAAATTGACAAATAAAAAAATGATAAAATCGAACAAAAAGAAAAAACGAAAAATTGTGAAATAAAAAAATTGTAAAATCGAAAAACTGAAACATTAAAAATCGGGAAATTGAAATATTATAAATTAAGAGCTTGAAAAATTAAAGATACAAAAAATGAATAAATCAAAAAAAGTAAAATTAAGCAAATGAAAAATAAAAATCAAGAACTTGAAAAACTAAAGAAACGAAAAATTGAAAAATCGAAAAACTGAAAATTGATAAACTAAAAAATCGAAAAACGGGAAATTGTAAAATAGAATAATTAGGAAATTGAAAAAGTTCAACTCGAAACATTATATAACGGGAAAATTTTAAAAAATTTTGAAGTCGAAAAATTGAAATATGGAAAAAATTAAAGTTGAAAAAACGAAAAACCGTGATCAAAGAATGGTAAAATCGAAAAATTGAAGAAACAAAAAATTAAAAAATCAAAAAATTGTAAAATTGAGAAAGTGAAAAATAAAAAAAAAGAAATTGAAGAAATGAAACGAAAAACTGTAAAATCGAAAAATTAAAAATTGACAAACAAAAAATCGAAACATGAAAAATCAAAAAATTGTCATATCAAACAATTGTAAAATCGAAAAATTGAAAAATTAGAAATCGAGAAAACAAAAAATTATGAATTAAGAACTTGAAAAATTGGAAAATCAAAAAACTGAAAAACTGAAAAATTAGACACCAAAAAAATAAAAATTATAAATAAGAACTTGAAAAATTAAAGAAACGAAAAATTGAATTATTAAAAAAAAGTAAAATTGAGCAAAACTGAAATATGGTGAAATCGAAACATTGAAGATACAAGAAATCGACAAATGGCATAATTAAGAAATCCAAAAATTGCAAAATCGAAAAATTTTAAAACTGAAAAATCAAAGATTAAAAACTTGAAAAATAGAATAAATCAAAAACTGAAAAAAAATAATGCAAATAAAAAATCCAGAAATTGTGATAAAATCGAGAAAATGGAAATTAAAAAATCGGAAAAACGAAAAATTGAAAAAATTAAGAGTTGAAAAAAATTATAAAACCGAAAAATGACAAAGTCGAAAAATTGATAAAAAATAAAGAAAATGGAAAAAAATTGGGAAATCAAAAAATGATAAAATCGAAGGAAAAGGAAAAACGAAAGATGAAAACCGAAAAATTGAAAAATCAAAAAATTAAATTAACCATTTATTTATTTATTTATCTAAATGAAAGTTACAGAGTGGATTGAAAGATAAAAATCAAGGACTTGAAACACAGAAGAAACGAAAAATTGAAAATTTGATAATTGAAAAACTAAAAAGTCGAAAAACGAAAAATTGTAAAGTCGAATAATAATTACCAAATTGAAGAAATGAAACAAATAAAAATTTTGAAGTCGAGAAATTGAAAATTTGAAAAAATTATAATATCAAACAATTGTAAAATTGAAAAATTGTAAATTAAGAACTTGAAAAATTAAAGACACGAAAAATTGAAAAACAAAAAAACAGTACCTAAAACTGAGAAATTGAAACTTGAAAATCAAGAACTTGAAAAACTGAAGAAACGAAAATTTGAAAAAACAAAAATTGAAAATTGAGGAACTAAATAGTCGAAAAACGAAAAATTGCAATCCAAACACTGAAGAAATAAAAATTTGAAAAATTTGGAAGTCGAGAAATTGAAAAATTGAAAACACAAAAAAAGTAAAATTGAGAAATTTATTAAATGTTTATTTATTTATTTATTTAAATGAAAATTACAGAGTGGATTGAAAGATAAAAATCAAGATTTGAAAAACAGAAGAAACTCGAGACATTGAAAAAATGGAAAATGAAAAATTCTGAAGACGAGAAATTGAAAAATTGAAAAAATTAAAGTTGAAAAAACGAAAAACTGTGATCAAAGAATAATTGTAAAATCAAAAAATTAAAAAATCAAAACATTGTAAAATTGAGAAAGTGGAAAATAAAAATCAAGAACTTGGAAAAATGAAAAATAACTTGAAAATTTCAGAAAACGAAAAATTGAAAACTGGAAAATTAAAAATTGAAACTATGAAAAATTGCAAATCGAAGAATTGAAGAAACGAAAAATTGAAAAAATTAGAGTTGAAAAAACATTATAGAACCGAAACATGGCAAAATCGAAAAATTGAAAATAATAAGGAAAACGGGAAAAAAATGAGAAACCAAAAAATGATGCAATCGAAGAAAAAAAAAAAGAAAAACTGTGATATAAAAAAATTGTAAAATCGAAAACTTGAAAAATTTCTTCGAAAAATTGAAAAATCAAAAAAATTAAAATTGAGAAATGTATTTATTTATTTAAATGAAACTTACAGAGTGGATTGAAAGATAAAAATCAACGACTTGAATCACAGAAGAAACGAAAAATTGAAGAATCGAGAAACTGAAAATTGAGAAACTAAAAAATCGAAAAACGAAAAATTGTAAAATCGAATAATTGCCAAACTGAAAAATGTCAACTCGAAACATTGAAGAAATGAAAAAAATAAAAATTTTGAAGTCGAAAAATTGAAAAACTGAAAAAGTTAAAGTTGAAAAAACGAAAAAGTGTGATCAAAGAATTATAAAACCGAAAAATTTAAGAAACAAAAAAATAAACAACCAAAAACATTGTAAAATTGAGAAAGTGAAAAATAAAAACCAAAACTTGAAAAAATGAAGAAACGGAAAATTAACAATTGACAAACTAAGAAATCGAAAAATTGTGAGATATAATAAACTGTAAAATCGAGAAACAGAAAAAATATAAATAAAAACCTGTAAAAATTGAACACACGAAAAACTGTAAAGTTGAAAGATAAAAATGAAAAACTTGAAAAATTAAAAAATCGGAAATTTCATAGTTGAGAAACTAAAAAATCGCAAATCTAAAAATTGCAGAGTTGAAAAAATGCAAATCGAAACATTAAAGGAATGAAAATTTGAAAGTCGAGAAATTGAAAAATTAAAAAATTAAAACTCGAGAAATTGACAAATCGGAAGATTAAAAACTTGAAAAATTGAATAAAGGAAAAATTGAAAAAGTAAAGCAAATAAAAAACAAGAAATTGTGATAAAATCGAAAAAAAGGAAATAAAAAAATTAAGAACTTGAAAAACTGAGGAAACGAAAAATTCGAAAACCGGAAAATAAAAAATTGAGAAATTGAAAAATCGAAACAATGTAAAATTGCAAATCGAAAAATTTGAAGAAACGAAAAATTGAAAAATTTAGAGTTGACAAAAAAATTATACAACCGAAACATGGCAAAATCGAAAAAATTAAAAAATAAGGAAAACTGAAAAAAAATTGGGAAATCAAAAAATGATAAAATCGAAGAAAAAGAAAAATTGTGATATAAGAAAATTGTAAAATCGAAAACCTGAAAAATGTCTTCGAAAATTGAGAAATTTATTTATTTATAAATTTATTTAAATGAAAGTTACAGAGTGGATTGAAAGGCAAAAATCAAGAACTTGAAAAACAGAAGAAATAAAAAATTGTAATATCGAAAAAGTGCCAAATTGAAAAATGTTAACTCGAAACATTGAAAAATGAAAAATTTTAAAAATTAAGGTTGAAAAAACGGAAAACCGTGATCAAAGAATTGTAAAATCGAAAAATGGTGATACCAAAAATCTGTAAAATCGAAGAAAAAGGAAAAATGAAAAATTGTGATATCAAACAATTGTTAAATCAAAAAATTGAAAAATTAGAAATGGAGAAAATGAAAAATTATAAATTAAGAATTTGGAAAATTGAAGACACGAAAAACTGAAAAATTAAAAAAAGTAAAATTGAGTAATTGAAAGATGAAAATCAAGAACTTGAAAAATTGAAGAAACGAAAAACTGAAAAATCAAAAAATTGCAAAACTGAGAAAGTAAATAGTCGAAAAATTGCAATTGAAACATTGAAGAAATGAAAATTTGAAAAATTTGGAAGTAGAGAAATTGAAAAATAAAAAAAAGTGAAAGTGAATAAACGAAAAATTGTGACATAAAAAAAAATTAAAATCGAAGTTAAAAAATTAAAAATCGAGAAATTAAAAAATTATAAATTAAAAATCTGAAAAATTGAAGAAACAAAAAATCAAAAATAAAATATTGTAAAATTGAGTAAGTGAAAAATAAGTCAAGAACTTGAAAAAAAAACTGAAAAATCGAAAAATTGTAGTATCAAAAAAATTATAAATCAAGAACTTGAAAAATTGAAGAAGCGAAAAATCAAAAAACTGTAAAATTAAGAAATTGAAAGATAAAAACTTGAACTTGAAAAATTGAAAAAATCAAAAGTGAAAAAACGAAAAATTGTGATAAGTATCAAAGATTTGGACGAAGAAATAAAAACATAGAGACAGATAAAAAACACACAAAGAGCGTAAAACGGAACAATTTATTTATTCGCATAACATCAGTACTTGTAAACAATCCCTATTGAACATTTTGAACACAACTCAATAAATTAATTTAAATATCTAATAAAGCAGGCTTTGTCTCCTTGGCACATTTGATCACCGAATGCATGAATTTAATAAAACCCGTGTCCTTCGGTTTCTCCAGACCTCTTAGCAACCGATTCTTCATAACAGCGATGAACTCCTTGTTACTCAGTTGTCCATCCACTGAAACCAACCCATCAAACACACACCCCAACACACCCCCTACTTACAATTCTCATCAAAAATCGTAAACACTACGTGGATAACGTGATCACTGAGATCAACATGGGCGACAGTTTTGGCAACGTGTTTAAGCGTGGCTTGATCGATGGAGGCTCCAGCTATATGGTAAAACGTCAACGCGGTATCAACATCGTTGATATTGTTCAAGAAGTGGAAAAAGTTTAAATAGTCTTCTTTGGAAATGCCTTGGCCGTGATCCCTGAAACTATTTCATCTGTAACATTGTAAATAAATCGTGCCAAAAGGGAAAACTAACGTCTTTTTCACCCGTTTTAACATCCTGGCCTTCTTTTTTTGTGGATACCCGGCATAGGCAAGGAGAAGCTCGGTGAAATCAGCCTCACTTATGTTACCGTTGTCGTCTGGATGTTTTCTGCGAAACTCCAAACTCAAAATTTCCTTTTGGAGCTTTTCTTGGAAGTCTAGGAACTTTTCAATGGTGAGTTTGCCTTTCAGGTTTGGCCCGAAGAAGTAAGTCGTGAGGGCGGTGTTCACACCCTGAAGCGTCACCGTGAAATTAAAAAAAAAATATATATATATTTTTTAAATTATATTTTCCCTTTTTCTTGCAATTAAGATCCGCCCCTCGGTCTGACCACGAATGAAAAAATCATCATGATTGAGATCGAAAATGGGCTTATCTTTTGGCTGAAATTGAAAAAATAAAGAAGATTGAGAAATCAAAAAATGATAACATCGAAGAAAAAAAAAAGAAGAATTGTGATATAAAAAAATTGTAAAATCGAAAAATTGAACCATTAAAAATCGAGAAATTGAAAAATTATAAATTAAGAACTTGAAAAATTGAAGACACAAAAAAGAGTAAAATTAAGAAATCGAAAAATAAAAATCAAAAACTTGGTAAATTAAAAAATCGAAAAATTACAAACTGAAATATTAAAGAAATGAAAATTTGAGCAATTTGGAAGTCGAGAAATTGCAAAATTATAAATTATTAATTTGAAAAATTGAAGAAACAAAAAAACCAAAAATAAAAAAAAAATGTAAAAATGAGAAAGTGAAAAATGAAATAAACTTATTAATAAATTAAAAAAAAACTCGAAACTTTTCTTAGTATGAAAACTTGAAAAATCGAAAATTGAGAAACTCAGTAATCGAAAATTTAAAAATTGCAAATCGAAACAATGAAGGAATGAAAATTTGAAAAATTTGGAAGTCGAGAATTTGAAAAATTGAAAAATTAAAAATCGAGAAACTTAATAAAAAATAACTTGAAAATTTGAGAAAACGAAAAATTGAAAAACTGGAAAATTAAAAATTGAAACTATGAAAAATTGCACATCGAAGAATTGAAGAAACGAAAAATTGAAAAAACATTATAGAACCGAAACATGGCAAAATTGAAAAATTGAAAAATTAAAAATCGAGAAACTTAAAAATCGCAAAGTGCAAAACTGAAAAAATGAAATACTCTGAAATTGAAATATTGAAAATAAAAGAAATTGCAAAATCAAAAAATTTTAGAATTGGAAAATCAAAGATTAAAAACTTGAAAAATGAAATAAACGAAAAATTGAAAAGATAAAGCAAATACAAAAACGAGAAATTGTGATAAAATCGAGAAAATGGAAATTAAAAAATCGGAAAAACGAGAAATAAAAATCAAGAACTTGAAAATTGAGGAAACGAAAAATTGAAAAACCGAAAAATCAAAAATTGTCATATCAAACAATTGTAAAACCGAAAAATTGTAAAATCGAATAATTGCCAAATTGAAAAATTCCAACTCAAAACATTAAAGAAATGAAAAAATCAAAAATCTGGAAGTCGAGAAATTGAAAAATTGAAAAATTAAAAATCCGAAATTGAAAAACCGAAACATAAAAATTTGAGAAACTTAAAAATCGAAAAGTGCAAAACTGAAAAAATGAAATATTGTGAAATCGACATATTGAAGATAAAAGAAGTCGAAAAATGGCATAATTGAGAAAGAGTTGAAAAAATTAAGGAAACGAAAAATTGAAAAAGCGGAAAACTAAAGATTGAAAAATCGAAACAATGAAAAATTCAAAATAGATGAATCTAAAGAAACGAAAAATTGAAAAGTTGAAAAAAGATTATAAAACCGAAACATGGCAAAATCGAAAAAATTAAAAAATACGGAAAATAGAAAAAAATGAGAAATCAAAAAATGATAAAATCGAAGAAAAATAAAAAACGAAAAACTGTGATATAAGAAAATTGTAAAATGGAAAACCTGAAACATTTCTTCGAAAAATTGAAAAATCAAAAAAAGTAAAATTGAGAAATTTATTTATTTATCTATATGAAAGTTGCAGAGTGGATTGAAAGACAAAAATCAAGAACTTGAAAAACAGAAGAAACGAAAAATTGTAATATCGAATAAGTGCCAAATTGAAAAATTCCAACTCGAAACATTGAAGAAATGAAAAATTGAAAAAATTAAGGTAGAAAAAACGAAAAACCGTAATCAAAGAATTGTAAAATCGAAAAATGGTTTGATATCACCATTTTTAATTGTAGAATCGAAGAAAAAGGAAACATGAAAAATTGTGATATCAAACAACTGTAAAATCCAAAAATTGAAAAATTAGTAATGGAGAAAAGAAGACAAAAAATGGAAAAATCAAAAAAAGTAAAATTGAGCAATTGAAAGATGAAAATCAAGAACTTGAAAAACTGAAGAAACAAAAAATAAAAAAATTAAAAATCGAGAAATTCAAAAATTATAAATTAAAAATCTGAAAAACTGAAGAAATAAAAAGATTGTAAAATTGAAAAATTGAGAAATTAGAAATCGAGAAAATGAAAAATTATAAATTATGAACTTGAAAAATTGCAGAAACGAGAAATTGTAACATCAAAAAACTGTAAAATTGAGAAATTGGAACATAAAAATCAAAAACTTAAAAAATGGAACAAAAGAAATATTAAAAATTGAGAAACTAAAAAATCGAAACTCGAAAAACTGCAAAGTTAAAAAATTAAAAATAAAAATATTGTAAAATTGAGAAAGTGAAAAATAAGTCAAGAACTTGAAAAAATAAAGAAAAGAAAAACTGAAAACGCGAAAATTTGTAGTATCAAAAAAATTATAAATCAAGAACTTGAAAAATTAATAACCCTTAGAAGTTAAAATAAAAATATAGGGGCAGATAAAAAACACACAAGGAGCGTAAAACGGAACAATTTATTTATTCGCATAACATCAGTACTTGTAAACAATCCCTATTTGAACAATTTGAACACAACTCAATAAATTAATTTAAATATCTAATAAAGCAGGCTTTGTCTCCTTGGCACATTTGATGACCGAATGCATGAATTTAATAAAACCCGTGTCCTTCGGCTTCTCCAGACCTCTTAACAACCGATTCTTCATAACCGCGATGAACTCCTTGTTACTCAGTTGCCCATCCACTGAAACCAACCCATCAACTACACACCCCAACACACCCCCTACTTACAATTCTCATCAAAAATCGTAAACACTACGTGGATAACGTGATCACTGAGATCAACATGGGCGACAGTTTTGGCAACATGTTTAAGCGTGGCTTGATCGATGGAGGCTCCAGCTATATGGTAAAAAGTCAACGCGGTATCAACATCGTTGATGTTGTTCAAGAAGTGGAAAAAGTTTAAATAGTCTTCTTTGGAAATGCCTTGGCCGTGATCTCTGAAACTATTTCATCTGTAACATTGTAAATAAATCGTGCCAAAATGGAAAACTAACGTCTTTTTCACCCGTTTTAACATCCTGGCCTTCTTTTTTTGGGGATACCCGGCGTAGGCAAGGAGAAGCTCGGTGAAATCAGCCTCACTTATGTTACCGTTGTCGTCCGGATGTTTTCTGCGAAACTCCAAACTCAAAATTTCCTTTTGGAGCTTTTCTTGGAAGTCTAGGAACTTTTCAATGGTGAGTTTGCCTTTCAGGTTTGGCCCGAAGAAGTAAGTCGTGAAGGCGGTGTTCACACCCTGAAGCGTCACCGTGAAATTTTTGAAAAAAAAAATATATTTTTTAAATTATATTTTCCCTTTTTCTTGCAATTAAGATCCGCCCCTCGGTCTTACGACGAATGAAAAAATCGTCATGATTGAGATCGAAAATGGGCTTATCTTTTGGCTGAAATTGAAAAAATAAAGAAGATTGAGAAATCAAAAAATGATAACATCGAAGAAAAAAAAAAGAAGAATTGTGATATAAAAAAATTGTAAAATTGAAAAATTGAACCATTAAAAATCGAGAAATTGAAAAATTATAAATTAAGAACTTGAAGAATTGAAGACACAAAAAAGAGTAAAATTAAGAAATCGAAAAATAAAAATCAAAAACTTGGTAAATTAAAAAATCGAAAAATTACAAACTGAAACATTAAAGAAATGAAAATTTGAACAATTTGGAAGTCGAGAAATTGCAAAATTATACATTATTAATTTGAAAAATTGAAGAAACAAAAAAACCAAAAAAAAAAAATTGTAAAATTGGGAAAGTGAAAAATGAAATAAACTTATTAATATATTAAAAAAAAAAACTCGAAACTTTTCTTAGTATGAAAACTTGAAAAATTGAAAATTGAGAAACTCAGTAATCGAAAATCTAAAAATTGCAAATCGAAACACTGAAGGACTGAAAATTTGAAAAATTTGGAAGTCGAGCAATTGAAAAATTAAAAATCGAGAAATTGAAAAAAGAAAGATTAAAAATTGAGAAACTTAAAAATCGAAAAGTGCAAAACTGAAAAAATGAAATATTTAAAAATAAAAGAAATCGAAAAGTGGGATAATTGAGAAATCCAGAAATTGCAAAATCGAAAAATTTCAAAATTGTAAAATCGAAAACCTGAAAAATGTCTTCAAAAATTGAGAAATTTTGCTATTTATTTATAAATTTATTGAAATGAAAGTTACAGAATGGTTTGAAAGACAAAAATCAAGAACTTGAAAAACACAAGAAACGAAAAATTGTAATATCGAATAAGTCCCAAATTGAAAAATTTTAACTCGAAACATTGATGAAATGAAAAATTAAAAAAATTAAGGTTGAAAAAACGGAAAACCGTGATCGAAGATTTGTAAAATCTAAAAATGGTGACACCAAAAATCTGTAAAATCGAAGAAAAAGGAAAAATGAAAAATTGTGATATCAAACAATTGTTAAATCAAAAAATTGAAAAATTAGAAATGGAGAAAATGAAAAATTATAAATTAAGAACTTGGAAAATTGAAGACACGAAAAACTGAAAAATTAAAAAAAGTAAAATTAAGTAACTGAAAGATGAAAATCAAGAACTTGAAAAACTGAAGAAACGAAAAACTGAAAAATCAAAAAATTGCAAAACTGAGAAAGTAAATAGTCGAAAAATTGCAAGGAAACATTGGAGAAATGAAAATTTGAAAAATTTGGAAGTAGAGAAATTGAAAAATAAAAAAAAGTGAACGTGAATAAACGAAAAATTGTGAGATAAAAAAAAAATTAAAATCGAAGTTAAAAAATTAAAAATCGAGGTATTAAAAAATTATAAATTAAAAATCTGAAAAATTGAAGAAACAAAACATCAAAAATAAAATATTGTAAAATTGAGTCAGTGAAAAATCAAGAACTTGAAAAAAAAACTGAAAAATCAAAAAAATTATAAATCAAGAACTTGAAAAATTGAAGAAACGAAAAAAAAAACTGTAAAATTAAAAAATTGAAAGATAAAAATCAAGAACTTGAAAAATTGAAAAAATCAAAAGTGAAAAAACGAAAAATTGTGATAAGTATCAAAGATTTGGACGAAGAAATAAACATATATTGACAGATAAAAAACACACAAGGAGCGTAAAACGGAACAATTTATTTATTCGCATAACATCAGTACTTGTAAACAATCCCTATTTAAACAATTTGAACACAACTCAATAAATTAATTTAAATATCTAATAAAGCAGGCTTTGTCTCCTTGGCACATTTGATGACCGAATGCATAAATTTAATAAAACCCGTATCCTTCGGCTTCTCCAGACCCCTTAGCAACCGATTCTTCATAACAGCGATGAACTCCTTGTTACTCAGTTGCCCATCCACTGAAAGCAACCCATCAACTACACACCCCAACACACCCCCTACTTACAATTCTCATCAAAAATCGTAAACACTACGTGGATAACGTGATCACTGAGATCAACATGGGCGACAGTTTTGGCAACATGTTTAAGCGTGGCTTGATCGATGGAGGCTCCAGCTATATGGTAAAAAGTCAACGCGGTATCAACATCGTTGATATTATTCAAGAAGTGGAAAAAGTTTAAATAGTCTTCTTTGGAAATGCCTTGGCCGTGATCCCTGAAACTATTTCATCTGTAACATTGTAAATAAATCGTGCCAAAAGGGAAAACTAACGTCTTTTTCACCCGTTTTAACATCCTGGCCTTCTTTTTTTGGGGATACCCGGCGTAGGCGAGGAGAAGCTCGGTGAAATCAGCCTCACTTATGTTACCGTTGTCGTCTGGATGTTTTCTGCGAAACTCCAAACTCAAAATTTCCTTTTGGAGCTTTTCTTGGAAGTCTAGGAACTTTTCAATGGTGAGTTTGCCTTTCAGGTTTGGCCCGAAGAAGTAAGTCGTGAGGGCGGAGTTCACACCCTGGAAGGTCACCCTCATTATAATAATTTGAAAAACGTATTTAAAAAAAATTACTTTGAACGTATTTCCAGTGTTTGCGTGATCTCTGTGCCTCGACCCGATGCTCGTCTGCTGTCTTATCAAAGTAGCGACTTTTTCGAACTCTTCGCAGTCCACGTCGCCGTCTCCGTTCAGATCGAACATGCGAAAGGCAATTTCGAAGTGGCGCCTTGAAGCTAACCCGAAATAATAACACGAAACTCCCCTACTTCGACTACTTACTTGACAGAACGGTGAGAAGAAAAATGTAATCGGAAAACGTGATAAGACCTGCGCTTCCCAACTTATAGAAAATGCTGTCTTCGTCTAAAGTGAGTTCTAACTTTTGCTGGACAGTCTAAACAGGATATTGTTGTTAATTCTAACTACTTAACAATCGTAAGTCTATCTATTTTTATTATATCGGGAGCGTACTCTGTAAATTAGCCAAATTAAACGATTGCCGATTTTACGGAGTACGTCCATGGTGTTAATTTTACAATTCCCTTTTAACCGCAAGTATTAACTTCAATTTTCTACAGGGAAAACAAAACTCTCTTTGTACGCATGCCGATCAACTTAAGCCAATTTTATTAAAAAGTCGCTTAAATTTCTATCGATCTAAGTAAAATGAAAAAAAAATAGTTCGCATGCAAAAATCATCTGGTAAAACTGCCATGCTAGTGTTTGCTAAAAAACTGATCCATTTAATAAATAGTTATTGATATTACCTGAAAATCGTGCTGAAAAACAGGTAAACAATTAAAGGATGTATTTACAGAGTCAAGTAAGATATATTTGATTGAGTTGTTTAAAGGAAGACACAGTTGAGAAGATTTTTGGAGAATGAAGAGTACTTACTCTGGGATCGTAGCGTCTGAACTGGTCTAGACCCAAACCTGAAACACAATTGTGGTTTAGAAATTAAAAAAAATATGTTTTTGACTGTCTTTATTTGGTGGATCAGATTATAATCAACTTGAATGTTTCTATTTGTTTTTTAAGCGTAAACTAGACTTCCCCTAAAAGTCTAACCCCCAGCAGTAAGGCATGTTAGTGTGAAAATCTAATGTAATAAAACATTCACACACCGCATTTTTAAGTAAAGTCGTAGACAAAATTTAGTGGCAAAGTGGATTCACAACAGTGGCCAAACAAGATCTGGAGACAAAATAAAGAAATTTTATAAAATCAGAAAGAATATTTAAGATAATTGAAATAACAAAGTGTAAAAATGCGACACATTTCATTAAAATTTCAATAACAACTTCCCTCAAAAATTATTAAAATTTTTGGGACTTTTGTTTTGTGATAACAAAATTTTTTTAATTTTTCATTTTTTCTGTTTCTTCAGCTAAGTTTAAATTTTTCAGTTTTTCAATTTTCCAACTTTCGAATTTTTCAATTTTTAGATTTTGCAATTTTTATATTTTTCAATAGTTCAATTTTATAAGTTTCGTTTTTCCAATTTTTCATTTTTTTGTTTGTGCTCTTAAATTTTGCAATTTTTCGATTTACAAATTCTCGATTTTTCAAATGTTTTAATTTTTCAATTTTTTGCTTCTTCAATTTTTCGTTTCTTAAAATTTTCGATTTGCAATTTTTCGTTTCGTTTTTTAATTTTACAGTTGTTTAATTTCACAATTTTTCGATTTTTTAGTTCGTCAATTTTTAATTTTTCGTTGCTTACTTTTATCAAGTTCTTGATTTTATTTTTCACTTTCTCAATTTTACAATTTTTTGTTTCTTCGATTTTTCGATTTTAAATTCTTCGATATCACAGTTTTTTGTTTTTTTTTTTTTATTTTACAATTTTTTAATATCATAATTTTTTGTTTTTTCAACTTTAATTTTATCAACTTTTCAATCTCACGACTTTAAAATTGTTCAATTTTTCATTTCTTCAGTGTCTCGAGTTTTTTAGTTTGTTAGTTTCTAAATTTTTAGTTTTCCGATTTTTCAATTTTACGTTTCTTAAGTTTTTCAGTTCTTGATTTTTATCTTTCAATTTCTCAATTTTACAGTTTTTTGATTTTTCAATTTTTCGTTTCTTCATTTTTTCAAGTTCTTGATTTTTATTTTTCACTTTCTCAATTTTACAGTTTTCTGATTTAAATTTTTTATTTCTTCGATTTTCATGTTTGTAATTTATAATTCTTTATTTTCTCGATTTTTAATTTTTCAATTTTTTAGTTTGTCAATTTTTAATTTTTTGTTGCTTAATTTTATCAAGTTCTTGATTCTTAATTTTCACTTTCTCAATTTTTTGTTTCTTAAATTTTTCAACTTTTTATTTTATAATTTTCCCCTTTTTCGATTTTAAATTCTTTGATATCAGTTTTTCGTTTTTGCTTTTTTTTGATTCTGGAATTTTTTGTTTTTTCGACTTTGATTTTTTCAATTTTTCAATTTCTCGTCTTCAAAATTGTTCAATTTTTCATTTCTTCAATGTCTTCAGTTGAAATTTTTCTATTTTACAATTTTTCGTTTTTCGATTTTTCAATTTTACGTTTCTTCAGTTTTTCAAGTTCTTGATTTTTATCTTTCAATTTCTCAATTTTACCGTTTTTTGATTTTTCAATTTTTCGTTTTTTCAATTTTTCTAGTCCTTAATTTATATGTTTTGTGTTCTTGATTTATAACTTTTCAATTCCTCGATTTTACAATTTATTGATATCACAATTTTTCGTTTCTCCTTTGTCTTCGATTTTACAGTCTTTTATCACAATTTTTCGATATTTCGTTTTTAGATTCTTTAGTATGTCAGTTTTTGATTTTCGATTTTTCAATTTTTCGTTTCTTCATTTTTTCAAGTTCTTAATTTTTATTTTTCACTTTCTCAATTTTACAATTTTTTTACTTTTAATTTTTTATTTCTTCAATTTACTCGATTTTAATTTTTCAATTTTTCGATTTTACGATTTTCTAGTTGCACAATTTTTCGTGTTCTTTTTCTTCGATTTCATCATTTTGTGATATTTAAATTTTTTTCCATTTTTTTTATTTTTTCAACTTTTAAATTTTTTCAATGTTTCGGATTTATAATAATTATTCTTTTTTTAACTCTAATTTTTTCAATATTTCAGTTTCTCGATTTTTATCTTTCAATTTCTGTATTTTGCGGTTTTTTGATTTTTCAATTTTTCGTTTCTTCAATTTTTTAGTTTGTCAATTTTTAATTTTTCGTTGCTTAATTTTATCAAGTTCTTGATTTTTATTTTTCACTTTCTCAATTTTTGGTTTCTTACATTTTTCAAGTTTTTATTTTATAATTTTTCAATTTCTTGATTAATTTTTCAATTTTTCGATTTCAAATTCTTTGATATCACAGTTTTTCGTTTTTGCTTTTTTTGATTCTGGAATTTTTTGATATCACAATATTTTGTTTTTTCGACTTTGATTTTTTCAATTTTTCAATCTCTCGTCTTCAAAATTGTTCAATTTTTTTTCTTCAATGTCTTCAGTTGAAATTTTTCTATTTTACAATTTTTCGGTTTTTTACAATTTCTCGTTTTGCGATTTTTTAGTTACTCAATTTTCAGTTTTTCAATTTTTCAATTTTACGTTTCTTCAGTTTTTCAAGTTCTTGATTTTTATCTTTCAATTTTTCAATTTTACAGTTTTATAATTTTTCAATTTCTCGATTTTACAATTTTTTGATATCACAATTTTTCGTTTTTCCTTTTTCTTCGATTTCATCATTTTTTGATATTTAATTTTTTCCATTTTTTTAATTTTTTCAATTTTTTAATTTTTTCAATTTTTCGGTTTTTTACAATTTTTCGTTTTTCGATTTTTTAGTTACTCAATTTTCAGTTTTTAGATTTTTCAATTTTACGTTTTTTCAGTTTTTCAAGTTCTCGATTTTTATCTCTCAATTTCTCTATTTTACGGTTTTTTGATTTTTCAATTTTTCGTTTCTTCAATTTTTCGTTTTCTCGATTTCTAATTTTTCGGTTTTACAATTGTTTGATATCACAATTTTTCGATTTTTCGTTGCTTTATTTTATCAACTTCTTGATTTTTATTTTTCACTTTCTTAGTTTTACAATTTTTTGTTTTTTTAATTTTTTGTTTCTTCAATTTTTCAATTTGTTGATTAATTTTTCAATTTTTCGATTTTAAATTCTTTGACATCACATTTTTTTGTTTATTCAACTTTTTTCATTTTTCAATCTCTCGACTTCAAAATTGTTCCGTTTTTTATTTCTTCAATGTCTTCAGTTGAAATTTTTCTGTTTTACAAATTTTCGGTTGTTTCACAATTTTTCGTTTTCCGATTTTTAGTTTCTCGATTTTCAGTTTTTCGATTTTTCAATTTTACAGTTTTTTGATTTTTCAATTTTTCGTTTTTTCGATTTTTCAAGCCCTTAATTTATATTTGATTTCTAATTTTTCAATTTCTCAATTTTACAAATTTTTGATGTCACAATTTTTCGTTTTTTTCAATTTTACATTTTGTTTCTTAAATTTTTCGATTTGATTTTTTATTTTTACAATTTTTCGATGCTTGACTTTAATTTTTTGTTTTATCAATTTTCCATTTCCTCAATTTTTCCATTTGCAATTTTTTTTTTTTTTATTTCTTCAGTTTTGCGATATGCAACTCTTCCGAGTTTTCATTTTTTAATTTTTTGATTTTCCGGTTTTTCGATTTGCATTTTCACGAGTTTCCAATTTTTCATTTCTTCAACTTTTCGGTTATTCGATGTTCTAATTTTATAATTGTTCTTTTTTCAATGTGAAATTTTTAAATATTTACATTTTTCAAATTTTGGTTTCAATTTTTCGATTCTTCAACTTTCAGATTTTTTTATTTTTCGTTTTTTCAATTTCAGATTTTTCAATTTTTCGTTTTAAATACGTAATAATTTAAAATGTTTTTCACTTTTTCATTTTACAATTTTAGATTTTTTTATTCTTCAATTATTGGATTTTAAATTTTTTTAATTTAAATGTTTTTTTTTCTTGTTTCCAATATTTCGACACATACTTTTTTTTGTTTTTTAAGTTTCTAGTTTTTAGTTTTTCAAAGTCTCAATTTTTTGTTTCTTCAGTTTTTCGATTTTTTTCAGTTTTCCCGATTTTTTTGTTTAACTTTCGATTTATAAAAAAATGGAAAAATTGCAAAACTGAAAAATCAAAAATGAAAAAACGAAAACTTTGAAAAATCTAAAAACTGGAAATCAAGAACTCGAAAAATTGAAGAACCGAAAAATTGAAAAATCGAAGAATAAAAATTGGGAAATTTAAAAACTGAAAAAGTGCAAAACTGAAAAAACGAAATATTGCAAAATCGAAAAAAACAATGAAAAAAATACAGAAAATGAAAAATTAAAGAAAAGGAAAATTGAAAAATTTGGAAGTCGACAAATTGAAATATTGAAAAAATTAGAGTTGCAAAAATTGATTATTATAAAACCGAAATATTGCAAAATTTGTATAATTAAATTAAATTAAAAAAAATGGAAAAAAATTTAAACATCAAAAAATGGTAAAATCGAAGAAAAAGAAAAACCGAAAAATTGGGAAATCGAAAAATTGAAAAATTAAAAATCGAGAAAATAACTTGAAAATTGAAGAAATAAAAAATTAAAAATCAAAAAATTCTAAAATAATCGAAAAATTGTGATATAAAAAACCTGTAAAATTGAGAGAAAAAGTAGAAATCAAGAAAATTAAAAATTTAAATTAAGCACTTGAAAAATTGAAGAAAAGAAAAATTGAAAAATCAAAAAACTGTAAAATTGAAAAATCGAAGAACTGAAAATTGAGAAACTTAAAAATCGAAAAACGAAAATTTGCAAAAAACCGAAAAATTGTAAAATTAAAAAATTTCAACTGAAGACATTGAAGAAATACAAAACGGAACAATTTTGAAGTCGAGAGATTGAAAAATTGAAAAAATTAAAGTTGAAAAAACAAAAAACTGTGATGTCAAAAAATTGCAAAATAAAAAAAAAACAAAAACTGTAAAACCGAAAAATTAGAAATTGAGAAAATGAAAAGTTGAAGAAACGAAAAATTGAAAAATCAAAAAACCGTACAATTGTGAAATTGAAAGATAAAAATCGAGAAATTGAAATATTGAAAAAATTGGAGTTAAAAAAAATAATTATAAAACCGAAACATTGTAGAATTTAAAAATTAAATTTAAAAAAATGGAAAAAAAATTTAAACATCAAAAAATGGTAAAATCGAAGAAAAAGAAAAAACGAAAAATTGTGAAATCGAAAAATTGAAGAAACAAAAAATTAAAAAAACAAAAAATTGTAAAATTAAGAGTGTGAAAAATAAAAATCAAGAAACTGATAAAATTAGGCAACAAAAATCGAAAAATTGTGATGTCAAACAATTGTAAAACCAAAAAATTAGAAATCGAGAAATCGAGAAATTGAAGAAACGAAAAATTGAAAAATCAAAAACCCGTACACTTAATAGATAAATTGAAAGATAAAAATCGAGAAATTGAAATATTGAAAAAATTAAAGTTAAAAAAAAGAATAATTATTACAAAACCGAAACATTGAAAAAATTTAAAAATTGAAAAAATTAAAAAAATGGAAAAAAATTAAATATCAAAAAATGATAAAATCGAAGAAAAAGAAAACGAAAAATTGTGCAACTCGAAAATTGTAAAACCGAAAAATTGAAAAATTAAAAATCGAGAAAATAAAGAATTATAAATTATAAACTTGAAAATCGAAGAAATAAAAAATTAAAAATCAAAAAATTGTAAAATTGAGACAGTGAAAAATAAAAATCAAGAACTTGAAAAAATGAAGAAACGAAAAATTGAAAAATCAAAAATCAAAAATTGACACTAAAAAATCTAAAAACGAAAAATCGAAAAATTGTGACATTAAAACTAAAATAGAAGAAAAAGGAAAAACGAAATATTGTGATATCAAACAATCGTAAAATCAAAAAATTGAAAAATTATAAATCAAGTAAACAAAAAATATAAATTAAGGACTGGAAAAATTGAAAAACCGAGAAATTGAAAAATCAAAAAACTGTAAAATTGAGAAATTGAAAGATAAAAATCAAGAACTTGAAAAACTGAAGAAACGTAAAATTAAGAAATCGAAAAACTGAAAATTGAGAAACTAAAAAATCGAAAAACGAGAAATTGTAAAAACCAAACAATTGTAAAGTAGAAAACTTTCAACTAAAGACATTGAAAAAATGAAAAATTGAACAATTTTGAAGTCAAGAGATTGAAAAATTGAAAAAATCAAAGTCGAAAAAACAAAAAAATTGTGATATCAAAAAATTTCGGAATCGAAAAAAAGCAAAAACGAAAAACTGTGATATCAAAGAATTTAAAATCGAAAAATTGAAAAATTAATCAAGAAAATGAAAAATTATAAAATGAAAACTTGAGAAATTGAAGAAACAAAAAATTAAAAATCGAGAAAATAAAGAATTACAAAATTACAAACTTGAAAATCGAAGAAATAAAAAGTTAAATATCAAAAAATTGTAAAATTGAGAAAGTGAAAAATAAAAATCAAGAACTTGAAAAAATGAAGAAACGAAAAATTGAAAAATCGAAAATAAAAAATTGGCATACTAAAAAATCCAAAAACGAAAAATCGGAAAATTGTGATATAAAAAAACTGTAAAATTGAGAAATTAGAAATCAGGAAAATAAAAAATATAAATTATAAATTTGAAAAATTGAAGAAACGTAAAATTGAAAAATCAAAAAACTGTAAAATTGAGAAACTAACAAATCAAAAAACGTAAAATTGAAAAATCAAAAAACTGTAAAATTGAGAAACTAACAAATCAAAAAACGAAAAATTGAAAAATTACAATTCGAGACACTGAAGAAATCAAAAATTGAACAATTTTAAAGTCCAGAGATTGAAATTTTGAAAAAAATTTAAGTCGATAAAACAAAAAATTATGATATCAAAAAATTGTGAAATCAAAAAAAAAAACAAAAACAAAAAACTGTGATATCAAAGAATTTAAAATCGAAAAATTGAAGAAACAAAAATTGTAAAAATGAGAAAATAAAAAATAAAAATCAAGAACTTAACAAAATTAAGCATCGAAAAATTAAAGATTGACAAACTAAAAAATCGAAACATCGAAAAATTGTGAAATTAAACAACTGTAAAATCGAAACATTGAAAAATTAGAAATCGAGAATATGAGAAATTATTAGTCAAGAACTTGAAGAAACGAAAAATTGAAAAATCAAAAAACCATAAAATAGAAAAATTAAAAGATAAACTCGAGAATTTGAAAAACTGAGGCAACAAAACATTGAAAAATCGAAAAACCAAAAATTGTAAAATCGAAAAATTGCAAAATTGAAAATTTAAAGTTGAAAAAACGGAAAATTGTAAAATAAATATTGTAAATTTTAAAAATCGAGTAATTAAAAAATTATAAATTAAGACCTTGAAAAATTGAAGAAACAAAAAATTGAAAAATTGAGAAAGTGAAAAATAAAAATCAAGAACCTGAAAAAATGAAGAAGCGAAAAATTGAAAAATCGAACATTTGTGATCAAAAAATTGTAAAATCGAGAAATTGAAAAATCAGAAATCAAGAAAATGAAAAATTATAAATTACGAACTTGAAAGGACACGTATCTCAATCAATACAATAAATTGCCTTATTCAATAATTTTTTTGAGTCACCCTGTATAAGTAATGAGTGCATTGATAAACCACAAGTATAGAACCACAATATTTTACATATTTCAGAGAGGATTTATTACACAAAATTTTGAGACGACGTCATCAATTTTTTAAGAGGGGATAAATGAATACATTTACCACGGCTTCAGAATGTCGATATAGTTTTGATTTTTTTTTCCAAAAATCTGGTTGTCTAGGGTGAAAACTCAACAAAAATGACGGTAAATATCAACGACTGCTATGAAGCTGTATTGTTGGTTGCGTTTTAAATTTTTCAGGCTTCTCGTACTAGTAGCATCAACTCCTTGAAACTGAGGGTGCTTATTTTCATGCAAAAATTTTACGAAAACAAAAATAAAAATGTTTTCTAGTTAAAGTTCTTACTGTATTAATTAACACATTTTATCCCCCTATTTTTTTTAAATTTTCAAGTGACAACATTGTCCCACGAATTTTTCAGTCTGGCATAGGTAATAAATCATACACCAGATCTTATTTAGCTTGGTTTTGTCTGCGACTTTATCCCTTGTACCTATAGTAATAAAATAAAGTATAGAATACACAAAACTAGAAACAATATAGACCTGCCCTACCCTCCCTATATTATTCCTAAGTTTGTGAAAGAATAGAAATGTCCCACTAACCATCCGGCTGCTTGAGCCCCGGCGTCATAGACCGCAAAAAGTCATCCGGCGTCATAAAAATCTCATGCTGATCGACCGTAGGCCCCTGCACCTGCAGCGTCGCAAAATAACGGAAAACCTTGTCAGGAGTAGAATAGTGCCGAATGCGGTTCTCATACTCAATTATCTGTCAAGCCATGCAGAAAGATTAGTATCACAATAAACCAAAGCGTTAGTCTGACACCACGCAAATCAAACACATCAGCCTATTACCATCGGGCTGTCTCATCCCTGGCGTCATAGCCCGCAGAAAATCGTCCGGAGTCATATACACCTCGTTCCCGTAGGCCGTAAACAGCCTAACTGTCGCAAAATAGCGGAAAATTTTGTCGGGCGTGGAATAGGCTCTCATTCGATTTTCGTACTCTATTATCTGATAACTTTATTAGACTCAGAGCTATGAGGAGTCAGTCCATGGCAAATCAAACAGTGGCCACAAATTTTTGTAAAGACAAGTTGTGTCAAGGTTGAAGAACACAAAAATACAAATTCAACTCTTTCAAACCACTTTAATCTAACATATTATTCTATTTCTTACAAAAATCCACTAACGCCACCTTTAGTCATTGACCTGACATGGACTGACCTAGCATGGTTGTCATCATACTTTGCGGTCCCGGAATCCGATTTTCTCCTTGCGATGTTTCTTCTTCTTGCTTTCATCCTCAGACCCTTCCTCTGAGCCTTCGACTTCAGGGAGTTCACCTATTTTCTCGCTCTCGGCTTTCACGACGGGGAAAAAAGTGCGCCTCAGCCTGGAATTTAGTCAACGTGTAGCAATGGTCACAGTGATGGGTTCCACGTACCATCTGTAGTCAACAACTGAGAATAGGAGCCCTGCGAAAATCGCACTGTACCAGATCTTCGTAAAAAGGGCAACCTTGTCGGGTTTGTGGCCGAAATTCTTGTAGTGGCGCTTCTGGTCTTTACTGTGTGAGGTTTGCTGTAGCGTTAGGGGCGTTTTTATTGCACTGGCTGCGGATAACTGGTTCAGATTTGGGTGGTTATGAAAGAATGCGGTTCTAAGATTGAGATGCAAAGCTCGCGAAAACATGTTTAACAGGGGTTATGTTTTTAGTAGCTGGTGGCGAACTACAAAAACCAATAGTTATAAACACGTATTTTTTATTATTATTTGAAGAACGATTAGGAATACGAATTATTATTATTTATTTTTATTAGTAGGGACGTTGACGTTTAATTGACATTTGAAAGCGCGCTGTTGCCACGTTTTCGTGATTGTTCTCAAACAGTCTGAAGAAATGCGAACGAATGTTGTGCAATTAAATAAAAAAATTAACACAGGTGTTAATACTTATGTTATGTAGTTACTCGAGCCAGTTATTAAGGTAATTTAAACAGAGTTTAATTTATTGGAAAATATGTCAACGAAGGCAACACTGTTAACCTCGTTGTTTTTGTACCAGTGGCGTAACATGGGAGTTGGAAAATTGGAAACACGAAATAATTAATTTTCAGTGCATTCAAAAAATGTTTCATAGTCAAACCAAGATAAATGAAGATCACTGTTTATGCTGGTCATTATTGTAATAATAACAATCACTTATAAAGTTATAACTCACAATTGCAAGATCGACAATTGCTCTTCAAGGGCTGATTCATGGGGTGTTAATACTCATGGTTAAATTTTATTTGATGAAATTGATTTATTTGAAAGTTATATTTTTCGAGATTTCTACGATTTATAATAGTTTGAAAAGTAAAAAAACTCGGTAGCCAAAATTGGGTCTTACAAATTACATAAAACATTTTGCCAAAGTTGTTTTCGTTCTTCTTGTCAAGTAAAGTTTTAAAGCAAATTGCAAAACCATCAAGTGATATTTATCGATTTCAGTTTAACTAATAACAGAGTACCACGAATATGAACCAAATCAAAGTCTTATTATTCAGAGAAATGCAAAATGCAGAAAAAAAGGTAAAATGTAGCCCCGCCCACCCGCCCTATCTCAATTGTGATGATTTTTTTATTCGTCGTGAGTCAAGAGGGCGGAGCTTAACTGCAAAATCCTTATTTCTCTACGTATTATTATTAAGAAAAAGATGAATCCAAAGATTAGACCCCATTCATACCCGCTCCAATCTCAACTCTCAATTGTCATGCATTTTTCATTCGTTATCAGATCGAGGGGCGGGGCTTAATTGCAAGATCCCTATTTGTCTACAAGAATTTAATATTTTAAACATGTTTAAGTTTCTTGTTCTGAAAAGACGGCCACGTATATTAAGAAACAAGGCAAAATATAAGTCCCGCCCACCCGCCCTGTTTCAGTTGTGATGATTTTTTTTTAATCGTTGAGAGCCAAAGGATCCAAATTTAAATGCAAAATTCTTATTATTTCCATGTAAAATATTTTTTGAATATCGCGTTATTCAAAGAATACTATGCATATATTAAAAAAAATTGAAGCCAAAGATGAAACCCCACCCATACCTACCGTGATCTAAATAGTACTGAAGTTTTCATTCGCTGGTAGACCTAGGGGCGGCGCCTAATTGCAAAATCCAAATTTCATTACATAAATTTACCATTTTAAACGGGTTTCTACGAATAAAAAAATGATCACAATTAAGAGGGGGCGGGTGTTCGGGGTAAATATTTTGCCTTGTTTTCTTAATATATGTACATAGTATCTTTTGAACACGATATTCAAAAACATGTTTTTAATTTCTTGTAAAGAAATAAAAATTTTGCAGTTAAGCTAAAGTCCGCCCCTCGACTTACGACGAATAAAAAAAATCATCAGAATTGAGATAGGGCGGGTGGGCGGGCTTACATTTTGCCTTTTTGTTTTAATATATGTAGACTTCTTTTTACGACATGAAACTTAAAACATGTTTAAAATGTAAAATTTGTATAAGGAAATATCGATTTTAACCATGTTGTGAAAAGATGACTGCACATATTAAGAAGAAAAAAGGTAAAATATAAGCCCCGTCCACCCGCCCTATCTCAATTCTGATGATTTTTTTATGATTCGTCATAAGCTGAGGGGCGAAATTTAATTGTAAAATACTTATTTTTTCACGAGAAATTACAATACAACGAAAACTAAATGTATTAATTAAAAAAGAAAACCGAAAGAGAAGCCCCACACTTCCGTCTCGATCTCACTGGTGATGAACTTTTCATTTGTTGTCAGACCGAGGGGAGGAGCGTAATTGCAAAATCTATACAAAATCCATAGTTTCTTACAAAAGTTTAACATTTTAAACATGTTTTACCTTTCTTGTTGTGAAAAAAAGACTACACTATCTAACTTTGACTTTTTCATACAGAATCTTTTATAAGCAAGCAATAGCTGCGCCCACCCACCCCTTCTTCGTTCCAGTGACTACTCTTAATAGTATTCAGTCCTTTGTTACCAAGTTTTAGCCCCTGACCCAAACTTTTTTTTCTTTCGACCAAGTTTTTTTCTTCTCAGATACCAATTAAGAAAAAAGGCAAAATGTAAGCCCGCCCGCCCACCCTCTCTCCAATCTGATGATTTTTTTTTATTCGTCGTGAGTCAAGGGGGCGGAGCTTAACTGCAAAATCCTCATTTCTCTACGAGAAATTAAAAACATGTTTTCGAGTATCGTGTTGTTCAAAGAATACTACGTATTAATATTAAGAAGAAGATGAATCCAAAGATTAGACCCCATCCATACCCGCCCCAATTTCAACTCTCAATTGTCATGAATTTTTCATTCGTTGTCAGATCGAGGGGCGGGGCTTAATTGCAAGATGCATATTTGTCTACAAGAATTTAATATTTTAAACATGTTTAAGTTTCTTGTTCTGAAAAGACGACTACGTATATTAAGAAACAAGGCAAAATGTAAGCCCCGCCCACCCGCCCTATCGCAATTGTGATATATTTTTTTTAATCGTCGAGAGCCAAAGGAGCCAAATTTAAATGCAAAATTCTTATTATTTCCATGTAAAATATTTTTTGAGTATCGCGTTATTCAAAGAATACTATGTATATATAAAAAAAAATTGAAGCCAAAGATGAAACCCCACCCATACCTACCGTGATCTAAATAGTAATGAAATTTTCATTCGCTGGTAGACCTAGGGGCGGAGCCTAATTGCAAAATCCAAAATTCCTCACAAAACATTACCATTTTAAACGGGTTTTAAGTTTCTAAGAATAAAAAAGATCATCACGATTGAGATGGGGTGGGGGGCCGAGGTAAATATTTTCCTCGTTTTCTTAATATATGTACATACTATTTTTTTGAACAACGCGATCTTCAAAAACATGTTTTTAATTTTTTGTAAAAAAATAAAAATTTTGCAGTTAAGTTAAAGTCCGCCCCTCGACTTACGACGAATAAAAAAAATCATCAGAATTGAGATAGGGTGGGTGGGGGGGCTTACATTTCGCCTTTTTGTTTTAATATGTATATAGACTTCTTTTCATGGAACTTAAAACAAATTTATAATGGAAAATTTGTATAAGTAAATATCGATTTTACCATTTTAACCATGTTGTGAAATGATGACTACACATATTAAGAAAAAAAAGGTAAAATATAAGCCCCGCCCACCCGCCCTATCTCAATTCTGATGATTTTTTTATTATTCGTCTTAAGCTGAGGGTCGGAATTTAATTGTAAAATCTTTATTTTTTTACGAGAAATTACAATACAAAGAAAACTAAATGTGCTAATTAAAAAAGAAAACCGAAAGAGAAGCCCCACCCATTCGCCTCGATCTCAATGGTGATGAACTTTTCATTTGTTGTTAGACCGAGGAAAAATGTTACTATGTTACCAAGTTTTAGCCCCTGACCCATACTTTCTTTCTTTCGACCAAGTTTTTTTGTTCTCATATACACATATTAAGAAAAAAGGGCAAAATGTAAGCCCTTGTAGTTATAACACCAGCGGTGGGATTTTGTTTCATGGATATTTTCTCGATAGCTCTGAGTGAAGTGATAAATTTTGGAGACATAACCTCGAAATTTATGTCAAAATAAAAGTTCAAAATCGTAATTCTGAGTTATAAGTTCTTAAAATTAAGGCAATTGTAAACTTTTGAGCATTTAATAAGCGTATATGCAAAGAATAAATGCAAACTTTTGCATTTAAAAGCTACGCAATGACATTTATCACAAGTGATAATTTATCACTTCGATCGAGAAACAAAATCGCACCCCTGATCTGTTTTTGAGACGAATAGCAATAAATCTTGGAGATGTAAATGTCGACAACTATCTTTAACAATGCATAATTACTGACAGAAAAGTACAGTGGAGAATATGAGGGTTTCGGTGAACAGGTAATTAAATGGATTAATATTAATGGACCTCATTATCTCTGTCAAAAATTTATTTTCGTGGATTTTCCTTCAAGTTGGAAACACAGCAACGTCAGCGACAAGTTTATAAATCAACTTGTTAGCCTCTCATCAGACCAACCGCTGTACGATAGATGGTGCCACAATCGCGAAATGTGTTCGTGAAATTCTAGCAACGCTACGCCACTGACGCCACCATAACGACATTGACAGCTGTCAGCTGTCAGTAGTGAGTGTTCTGTGGCTGTCAGTTCCATCGTGTTGTATCAGTTCAACAAATCGTGTTTTATAATAATTGTCGTATTTACTTTGTGTCTGTTATCGTGTCGGTTAAAAACTATTTTTTTTGATATCACTCATATCTCGCTTCATCAAGTCAATGTTATACACAGTTCTCTTTATACTTTAAAGTTTAGTGGTTTGTTATAATTATACAAAAACCAGATTTATCGTAAAAATGGGCAAAAAGAAAGGTACACACAACAATTTATCTAATTTAAATATCACACTTTTCATCCGTGTTGATAACTCTGTGAATCCCCTACTTTCCTCATCACCCGCCATATTGTTGCGTTTACAGGAAAAGGAAAACCCAAAGGGCAAACTCCATCTGATGACCAACCCCCACAGCCACAACCGGAACCCCAGCCCACGACCTCACAGCCGCAGCCGGAACCCCCACAACCTGAACCCCCAAAGGAACCATCGGGCGACCAACCCCAGCAACAACAATCCAAAAAGAAAAAGGGTAAAGCACAGCAAAAGGGCCCGCAAGGGGGACCGCCACAGCAGCCACAACAGCCTGTCCAACCCCAGCAACAACAACCGCCAGTGCAACCCCAACAACAACAACCGCCACCACAATTTCCTCCTCAACAGCCACAGCCTCCACAACAGTTTGCTGCTCCGCAGCCACAACAACAAGCTTGGCGGCCCCCACAACAAGGACGGGGGCCTCAGCAGCAGCCGTGGGGGCCGCAACACCAGCAAGGTGTTCCTCCGCAGCGGTTTGCCCCACCTCAGCAGGGCCCGCCGGGCTTTGCGCCCCCTCAGCGATTCCCGCCAGGGTTTCAGCAGCCGGTTCCTCCACAGGGACCTCCTGGGGTGCGACATCAGAGTCCCGTGAGGCAGCCGCCGCCGGGGCAGTATGGGGGCCCGCAGTACTGGCAGGCGCCGCAGCAGGCTATGGGGTGATTATCAGTATTTATCTATTTTTGTTTGGTGTGTAATGAAAGCGATGAGTCAGTCTTATCAGTAGAGTGGATTTATATGCACAAATATTTAATAATAATAATAATAATTAGAATTTATTTTCCAACACAAAATGAAAATGTCTATAGTGGATACATATTACAAAATCACATAATACAACAATAAAATAATGATAGTTATATACAACTATTGATACTACAAAAGATATAAATTTAAATGTTTTGCGATTTTTCGATTTCTCAGTGTTTTAGTTTTTTAATTTTTCGATGTTTCGATTTTCGGATTTCTCGATTTTTCGATTTCTTACTTTTGGGCTTCTCAATTTCTGGATTTTCCAATTTTTTAAATTAAATTTTCGAATTTTTATTTTTTGATTTTTTGATGTTTGGATTTTGTGATATTTTAATTGTTCAATGTTTTGAATTTTAGATTTTTCGATTTCCCGATTATTTGATTTTTCAGTTCTTCAGTATTTCTATTTTTCAATTTTTCAAATGTTGACGTTCCTAATTTTTCAATTAATCTATTTTTGATTTTAACACTTCTGAAAATTTCGATTTTTCGACTTCGCTGTATTCAATTTTTCAATTTTTTGATTCCTCAATTTTTGGATATTTCTTTCATCTTTTGAGATTTTTCAATGTTTCGATTCTTCGACTTTTCGATTTTTCACTTCTGGATTTTTCGATTTTTTATTTTTGGATTTTCAGTTTTTCGTTTTTGAAACTTTAGATTCTCAATTTTTCAACTTTTCCATATTTTAATTTTTCAATTTTCTGAATTTTTCAATTTTCGATTCTTCAATTTTTTAAGATCTCGATTTATCGAGATTCGTATGTTTCGATGTTTTGATTATTCAATTTTTCGATTTTTCGACTTCTCGACTTTTTGTCTACTCGATTTTTCGATATCTCGATGTCCCGATTTGTCCGTTTTTCGATTTTTCGAGTTTCGATTTCTCGATTCGTTGTTTTTCAGTTTTTCGATTTTTTAATGTTTTAAATTTTTGTGATGCATGGATTTCTCCATTTTTCAATTTTACGATATTTTAATTTTTCAAATTTTGACATTTCCGAATTTTCAGTTTTCGGATTTCTCAATTAATCTATTTTTTTTATTATCCCATTTCTCCACTTCCCAAAGTTTCGATCTTTCAGTTGTTCAGATCTTCATTTATCGATTTTTCAGGTTTTTGATTTTTCGATTTTTTAAGTTTGCGATTTTTCGACTTTACTTTTCTGACTTTTTGGCTTCTCAATTTTTTAATTTCCTAATTTTTGGATATTTCGTCCAATTTTGTGATTTTTCAGTTTTGGGATTTTGTAGTATTTCGACTATTCGAGTCCTGGATTTTTCGATTTCTCGACTTTTTACTTTTTGGATTTTCGGTTTTCCGTTTTTTAGACTTTGTATTTTTTCAATTAACCGATTGTTCAATTTCTCGATCTTTATTTTTTGAATATTCCGGTTTTTTTTCTGTTTTCAATTTTTGGAATTTTCAACTTTTAAATTTTTGAATTTTTGGTTTTTTCAACTTTAGATGTTTTTAAACTTATTCACGTTTTCAATTTTATTGTTTGGTAATTTTTCCATTTTTCAATTATTGGATTTTAAAACGTTTTCATTTATTCTATTTTTCAATTTTTCGATTTTGCAATTTTTCTGTTTGATTTGTTTTTTCTTTTCAATTCTTCAATACATTGATTTTTTCAATTCTTAAGTTTCTCGATTTTTAATTTTTTGTTGTTTCTATTTTTTGATTTTTCAATTTTTTTCATTTCTTTAATTTTTCGATTTGCAATTTTTTGTATCCGTTTTTTTGTTCTTAATTTTTTTCAATTTTCCGATTTTTCGATGTTGGATCATTTTTCTTTTTGCAATGTGAAATTTTCGAATTTTTTAATTTTTCAATGTTTCGAATTTTCAACTTTTAAATTTTTAAATTTTGCGGTTTTTCAATTGTAGATTTTTTAGTTAGGTACCCGATTTTTCAATTTGTAGGGTCTTCAATTTTTGAACTGCAATTTTTCTAGCCTGCACTTTAAGTAGGTATCTAATAATTATAATTTTTAAAATTATTCACGTTTTCAATTTTACAGTTTGGTTATTTTTCCAATCTTCAATTATTGGATTTTAAAATTTTTTCATTTATTCTATTTTTCAATATTACAGTTTTTCGACTTTCAAATTTTTCTATTTGATTCGTTTTTTCTTCTTCTCAATTCTTCAATTTATTGATTTTTTCAATTTTTAAGTTTCTCGATTTTGAATTTTTTATTGTTTCAATTTTTCGATTTTTCAATTGTTTTCATTTCTTTAATTTTTCGATTCGCATTTTTTCTGATCCGCTTTTTTTTTATTTTTTCAATTTTCCGGTTTTTCAATGTTTCATAGTTTTTCTTTTCGCAATGTGAAACTTTTCAGTTTTTGGATTTTTCAATTTTTCGTATTTGCAAGTTCTCCGTTTTCAGTTTTTGGAATTTTCAACTTTTAAATTTTTGAATTTTTCGTTTTTTCAACTTTAGATCTCTTTAAAATTATTCACGTTTTCAATTTTATTGTTTGGTAATTTTTCCATTTTTCAATTATTGGATTTTAAAACTTTTTCATTTATTCTATTTTTCAATATTACAGTTTTTCGACTTTCAAATTTTTTTGTTTCATTCGTTTTTTCTTCTTCTCAATTCTTCAATTTATTGATTTTTTCAATTTTTAAGTGTCTGGATTTTGAATTTTTTATCGTTTCAATTTTTCGATTTTTCAATTTTTTTCATTTCTTTAATTTCTCGATTCGCATTTTTTCTGATCCGTTTTTTTCTTAATTTTTTCAATTTTCCAGTTTTTCAATTTTTCGTATTTGCAAGTTCTCAGATTTCAATTTTTGGAATTTTCAACTTTTAAATTTTTGAATTTTTCGTTTTTTCAACTTTAGATCTTTTTAAAATTGTTCACGTTTTCAATTTTATTGTTTGGTAATTTTTCCATTTTTCAATTATGGGATTTTAAATTTTTTTCATTTATTCTGTTTCAATTTTTCGATTTTTCAATGTTGCAATTTTTCTATTTGTTTTGTTTTTTCTTTTCAATTCTTCAATACATTGATTTTTTCAATTCTTAAGGTTCTCGATTTTTAATTTTTTGTTGTTTCTATTTTTTGATTTTTCAATTTTTTTCATCTCTTTAATTTTTCGATTTGCAATTTTTCGTATCCGTTTTTTGTTCTTAATTTTTTTCAATTGTCCGGTTTTTCGATGTTTGATCATTTTTCTTTTTGCAATGTGAAATTCTCGAATTTTTCAATTTTTCAATGTGTCGAATTTTCAACTTTTAAATTTTTAAATTTTGCAGTTTTTCAATTGTAGATTTTTTAGTTAGGTACCCGATTTTTCAATTTGTAGTTTCTTCAATTTTTGAACTGCAATTTTTCTAGCCTTCACTTTAAGTAGGTATCTAATAATTATAATTTTTAAAATTATTCACGTTTTCAATTTTACGGTTTGGTAATTTTTCCAGTTTTCAATTATTGGATTTTAAAACTTTTTCATTTATTCTATTTTTCAATTTTTCGATTTTTCAATGTTACAGTTTTTCGACTTTCAAATTTTTCTATTTGATTCCTTTTTTCTTCTTCTCAATTCTTCAATTTATTGATTTTTTCAATTTTTAAGTTTCTCGATTTTGAATTTTTCATTGTTTCAATTTTAGATTTTTCAATTTTTTTCATTTCTTTAATTTTTCGATTTGCATTTTTTCTAATCTTTTTTTTTTTCTTTATTTTTTCAATTTTCCGGTTTTTCAATGTTTCGTAGTTTTTTTTTTCAATTTTTGATATTTTCAACTTTTAAATTTTTGAATTTTTCGTTTTTTTAACTTTAAATGTTTTTAAAATTATTCACGTTTTCAATTTTACGGTTTGGTAATTTTTCCAATTTTCAATTATTGGATTTTAAAACTTTTTCATTTATTCTATTTTTCAATTTTTCTAATTTTCAATATTACAGTTTTTCGACTTTCAAATTTTTCTATTTGATTCGTTTTTTCTTCTTCTCAATTCTTCAATTTATTGATTTTTTTCAATTTTCAAGTTTCTCGATTTTGAATTTTTTATTATTTCAATTTTTCGATTTTTCAATTTTTTTCATTTCTTGAATTTTTCGATTCGCATTTTTTCTGATCCGTTTTTTTTTCTTAATTTTTTCAATTTTCCGGTTTTTCAATGTTTCATAGTTTTTCTTTTCGCAATGTGAAAATTTTCAGCTTTTGGATTTTTCAATTTTTCGTATTTGCAAGTTCTCTGTTTTCAATTTTTGGAATTTTCAACTTTTAAATTTTTGAATTTTTCGTTTTGTTCAACTTTGGATCTTTTATAATTGTTCACGTTTTCAATTTTATTGTTTGGTAATTTTTCCAGTTTTCAATTATTGGATTTTAAAACTTTTTCATTTATTCTATTTTTCAATTTTTCGATTTTTCAATGTTACAGTTTTTCGACTTTCAAATTTTCCCATTTGATTCGTTTTCTCTTCTTCTCAATTCTTCAATTTATTGATTTTTTCAATTTTTAAGTTTCTCGATTTTGAATTTTTTATTGTTTCAATTTTTCGATTTTTCAATTTTTTTCATTTCTTTAATTTTTCGATGCGCATTTTTCCTGATCCGTCTTTTTTCTTTATTTTTTCAATTTTCCGGTTTTTCAATGTTTCATAGTTTTTCTTTTCGCAATGTGAAAATTTTCAGCTTTTGGATTTTTCAATTTTTCGTATTTGCAAGTTCTCTGTTTTAAATTTTTGGAAATTTTAACTTTTAAATTTTTAAATTTTTCGTTTTTTCAACTTTGGATCTTTTTAAAATTATTCAAGTTTTCAATTTTATTGTTTGGTAATTTTTCCATTATTTAGTTATTGGATTTTAAAACTTTTTCATTTATTCTATTTTTCAATTTTTCGATTTATCAATGTTACAGTTTTTCGACTTTCAAATTTTTCTATTTTTCTTATTTCAATTCTTCAATACATCGGTTTTTTCAATTTTTTTGAGCATTTTTGGACGATTTGTTTAATAATGAAATTCTTCACTATGCAAATTTCGACTATTTTCGCCCTTAAATTGAAAATTAACCAAGAAATCCAAATATGCAATAATAAATCCATTTTCTCGTCGTACATACAAGCACAAAAAATCACAAACAGTATCGACTTGGCGAGCAGCTGGTTTTTGCTACCCATTTTTTGTTCGAGCTCTGCTGATAATTATCGAGATTTCTTTAGTTTTACACGTGCGTGACGCAGGAATACCGCTGGCGGTAAACTGTAAATATTTTGACTAATAATATGTTGCAATTTTTCGTTAAGTTGCTGGTAAAAAAATACAAACTGTTTTTTCTTAATATTTTTTCTTTATTTTTCTTTTTTTTTTGTGTAGATGCATTCTCAGCATTTGTATCCAATGCGAGTTCAGATATAGTAATATTCGTAAAAATTTTGGTAATGAAATGTCACTACTGACATACACGGATTGACTTAAACTGTCTGCTACAAATCTGTTTCAGAGTTTTTGTGAAATTTTATTCCTAATTTTTTTTTCAAACCCTTTCAATCTTTACAAACGTCACCATATAATAAATTTGCCGTTCCTTGTAGCCTATACCCTACTTTAAAATATTCTAGTCCGAATATAGTCGCAGTACATTGTCCTAAAATGGCACAATATTGCCACCGTCATTCCAGATTTCAACAGCAACAACCAGGTCCTAGACCACAACAACAACAACAACCAGGTCCTAGACCTCAACAACCACAACAACAACCAGGTCCTAGACCTCAACAACCACAACAACAACCAGGTCCGAGGCCCCAACAACAACAACCAGGCCCCAGACCTCAACAACAGCAGCAGCAACCAGGTCCTAGACCACCACAACAACAACAACAACAACAACAACAACCAGGTCCTAGACCTCAACAACCACAACAACAACCAGGTCCGAGGCCTCAACAACAACAACCAGGCCCCAGACCTCAACAACCTGGTTTTCATCAGCAACAACCCGGCCCCAGACCGCAGCAACAGCAGCCGCAAGGCCCTCCGCCCCAACAGCCGCAGCAGCCGCAAGGCCCCCGCCAGCCACCACCGGGCCGCCACCCACAGCAGTCGCAAACCCCCCCGCAACAACAGCAAAGAGGCGGCCCCTCCAGAATGCCCCCCGAACAGCAGCCCCAGCAGGCGCCGCCATCGTTGTCTCCTCCGAGCGGCCAGGGCGACTGCTTGAGGCAGCTCATTCCGGTGCAACCCGGCACCAAAGGCAGGAAAATTCGGGTCGAGAGCAACCATTTGGCCTTGAATTTGGGGAAGATTCTGCAGGCTGTTCACTACGACGTGACCATCACGCCTGATACCCCGAAGGCGCTGCTGCGTGACGTCATGAATCTTTTCCGGGATAAGCACTACAAGGGAAGGTACCCGGCCTTCGACGGGAGGAAGAACTTGTACACTCCGACGAAGTTGCCGTTCGGGGATACGATCAGCGATAAGATTAAGATCGAGGGGGAGAATCGGACCAAGGAGTTCATGGTGAGGATGTTGCTGGGGTTCAGGGTTAATTTAATTTTGAAAAGTGAAAGTTTTCTTATGAGGGTCATTTTCTTTTGATTGGGTTGCGTATATTCGTTTGAACAACTAAAATTTGCTACTTTTTGCTTGCCGAGCGTACGCTAAGGAAGTATTGTAATTGAGTACAGCGGGCGATTGGCCACTTTCAATTATTAGCTTTGAAATTGCAAAATCGAATGCTTTGAAATTTAACAAACGTTTTAGCTTTTTCGATTTCTCAATTTTCGTATATTTCACTTTTACGATTTTTCAATTTTTTGAATTTTTGATTTTTCACTTTTTTGATATTTCGATTTCTCGATCTTTCGGTTTTTCGACTATTCGCTTTTAGATATTCCCATTTTTCGGTTTTTAAATTTTTTGCTTTTTTCGTTTTCTCGATTAATCAGTTTTTTTTTATTTAAATTATTCCATTTTGGGCTGTAAAATCGGGTTAAGTGTTAGCTTAGACGTCGCGATTTTTGAAAAAAAAAAGAATAACAATGTATCGATTTTTCGGCTTTTTGATTTCTCAATTTCCAATTTTTTGATTTCACGATTTTCAATTTTTCGTTCCTGCAATTTTCTATTTTACAATTCTTCAATTTTTGGAAGTTCTAAATTTCGATTGTTCGATTTTGCTGCTTTTGAATTTTTCGATTTTTCGTTTTTCCGATTTTCGGATTTTTATTTTTCGATCTCAATTTTTCGATTTTTCAGATTTTTGATTTTTTGATTTCTGGATTTTCAGTTTTTCGGGTACTCAATTTTTCGATATTTTAGTTTGAGGATTTTACAACTTTTCCATTTTTAGAATTTTAGATTTGTTGTTCATTTTTTTTTCGACTTTTCAATTTTGGAATTTTTCAATATTTCGATTTTTGGACTGTTCGATTTTTTGATTTTTGAATTTTTCTATTTATCAGTTTTTGTAAGTTAAAATTTTTCAGTTTTAGATTTTCAATTTTGAGCTACGAATTCGTGTTGAATTTTTATACCAGACATCGAGATTTTTGAAAAAAAAATTGAACAACAATTTTCCAATTTTTCAGTTTTACGATTTCTCGATTTGCAATAATTTAATTACACATTTTTTCGAATTTTCGATTAGCCAATTTTAATATTTCATTTTTACGATTTTTCAGTTTTTGCGCTTCTAAATTTTGGATTTCTCGATTAATTGATTTTTTTGAATTTCGAAAAAAAAACTAAACTGAATAACAATTTTCCGAGTTTTCGATTTCTCACTTTTTCGATGTTTTAATTTTGGGATGTTTTAAATATGTATTTCAATTTTTGAGATTTTAGAGTTTTCAATGATTTAATTTTTCAATTTTTCGTTTTTTTTTAAGTTTAACTTTTTCAGTTTTGAATTTTTTGATTTTGGGCTACATATTCAATTTCCCAATTTTCTGATTTTTCCACTTCTTGACTTGATTTTTCCATTCCGCGATGTTTCAATTTCCCAGTTTTTCGAACTTTCATTTTTTCGACATTTCAGTTTTGGGATTTTTCATTTTCTCGATTTTTTAATTTTCAAATTATTTGATTTTTCGATTTTCAATATTTCGAAATTTTCAGTTTATCAAATTTTTGATATTTCGACTTCTGGTTTTTCTATTTCTCGATTTTGATTCTTCAATTTTTGGAGTTCTTAAATTTCTATTTTTCGATTTCTCAATTCCTGTATTAAACATTTTTTTTTTAGTTTTTCATTTTTCATCTTTTTGATTTTTCGGTTTTCAATTTTTTTTGTTTCCCAATTTTCAATTTTTCGATTTCTTGATTTTCAACATTTCGATTACTCAGTTTTTCGAATTTTCGATTTCGGGAACTTTTTATTTTTCGATTTGCCAATTTCCCAAAATTTCAGTTTTACGATTTTTAAATTTTTGGTATTTCTATATTTTCGATTTCTCGATTTTTTGACTTCGAAATCTCGATTTTTCGACCTTTTGATTTCTCGATTTTTCAATTTTTCGATGTATCAGTTTTTCGATGTTTTAGTTTTGGGATTTGTTTTATATTTCAAGTTTTGAAAAATTTTCGATTTTTGAGATTTTAGATTTTTCAATTTTGCGGTTTTTCGATTCCTCAATTCAACTTTTTTTTTTAAGCTTAAATTTTTCGATTTTGAATTTTTGGATTTTGGGCTATTCGATTTCTCAATTTTTTGATTTTTCGACTTCTCGATTTGCTTTCTCGATCTTTTGATATTTCCATTTCCCGATGTTCCAATTTTTCGATTTTTCAGTTTTTCGACATTTCAGTTTTGGAATTTTGCATTTATTTAATATTTTATGTTCCTGATTTTGAATTTTAAATTATTTTAATTTTTCGAGTTTCAGTTTTGGAATTTTTTCAAAATTTTTCAATTTCTAAAATTTTACATTTTTGACTTTCAATAATTCGAATGTTTAAAGTTATCACATTTTTGATGTTTCGACTTCTGGCTTTTAAATTTTTCGATTTTCAATTTTAAATTTTCGATTTTGGGTTACAATTCATGTTGAATTTTTATAGTAGACATCGAGATTTCTGGATAAAAAAAACTAAATTGAATAACAAACAATTTTTCGATTTCTCGATTTAACTTTTTTTTAAGTTTAAATTTTTCGATTTTGAGTTTTTGGATTTTGGACTACATATTTGATTTCTCAATTGTTTAATTTTTCGACTTCTCGACTTGCTTTCTCGATCTTTCCATTCGCCGAAGTTTCAATCCGATTTTTCGATTTTTCATTTTTTCGATTCAGTTTTGTAATTTTTCATTTTGTCGATTTTTTAAATTCCAGATTTTTCGATTTCTTGATTTCTAGTTTTTGATTTTTTAGTTTTTCGATTTTTTACATTTTACATTTTCGGTTTTACAATTTTTTAATGTTTTGAGTTCCCGATATTAAATTTTAAATCATTTCAATTTTTTGGAGTTTCAATTTTGGAATTTTTCAATATTTCGATTTTTCAAAATTTTTCATTTTTCGATTTTCAATATTTCGAAATTTTAAATTTATCACAATTTTGACGTTTCGACTTCTGGCTTTATGTTGAATTTTTATAGTCTAGATCGAGATTTCTGGAAAAAAAACTAAATTGGATAACAATTTATCGATTTTTCGGTTTTTTGGTATATTCAATACATATTTCCATTACTCATTTTTTCGAATTTTCGATTTCGCAATCTTTTTATTTTTCGACTTGCCAATTTTCCAATATTTCAGTTTTACGATTTTTCAATTTTTGGCATTTCTATATTTTCGATTTCTCGATTAATTGATGTTTTGACTTGTCGAATTCTCGATTTTTGGACTTTTTCGATTTCTCGATTTATCAGTTTTTCGATGTTGTAGTTTTGGGATTTTTTTAATATTTCAAGTTTTGAAAAATTTTCGATTTTTGAGATTTTAGATTTTTCAATTATTCGATTTTTCAATTTTTCGGTTATTCGATTTCTCGATTTAACGGTTTTTTTTTAAGTTAAAATTTTTCAATTTTGAAATTTTCGGTTTTTGGCTATTCGATTTTTTTGATTTTTCGATTTTTCGACTTGCTTTCTCGATCTTTTGATATTTCCATTGCCCGATGTTCCAATTCTTCGATTTTTTAGTTTTTCGACATTTCAGTTTTTGAATTTTGTTGATTTTTAAATTTCAGATTTTTCGATTTCCCCATTTTTTGTTTTTTGATTTTTTAATTTTTCGACTTTTTAAATTTTACATTTTCGATTTTGCGATTGTTTAATGTTTCGTGTTCCCGATTTTAAATTTTAAATTATTTCAGTTTTTCGAGTTTCAATTTTGGAATTTTACATCTATCACATTTTTAATATTTCGACTTAGGTTTTTCGAGTTCGTGTTGAATTTTTATAGTAGACATCGAGATTTAAAAAAAAAAAAAACTAAATTGAATAACAATTTTTCGGTTTTTTGGTTTTCCGATTTCTCGATTTTGCAATTCTTCAATTTTTAGAGTTCTTAAATATCTATTTTTCGATTTCTCAATTCCTGGATTAAACAATTTTTTTGATTTTTTGAGTTTTCGATTTTAATTTTTTTAATTTTTCGGGTTATCGGTTTTCAGTGTTTTTATTTCTCATTTTCTAATTTTTCGATTTATCAGGTTTTCGATGTTTTACTTTTGGGAACTTTTTAGTATTTCAATTTACATGTACATTTTTCAATTATTTTTCGATTATTCAATTTTTTCGGTTTTTCGATTCCTCGATTTAAAGTCTTTTTTAAGTTTCAATTTTTTGATTTTTGACTTCTCGACTTGCTTTCTGGATGTTTTGATATTTCCTTTCGCCGATGATTCAGTTTCCCAATTTTTCGATTTTTCAGTTTTTTGATTTTTTAGTTTTTCGACTTCTTAAATTTTACATTTTCGCTTTTACGATTTTCTAATGTTTTGAGTGCCCGATTTAAAATTTTAAATTATTTAAATTTTTCGAGTTTCAATTTTGGAATTTTTCAATATTTGGGTTTTTTGAATTTCTTTAAAATTTTTGATTTTTCGATTTTCAATATTTCGAAATTTTAAATTTATCACATTTTTGGTTTTTCGACTTCTGGCTTTTAGATTTTTCGATTTTTCAAATTTTCGATTTTTCAATGTTTCGATTTTTTTTATTTTCTCAATTTTTCGATTTCTTAGTTTTTCGATGTTTTATAGTGGTGGGATTGTTTTAATGTTTGAATTTTTGAAAATATTTCGATTTTTGGGATTGTAGATTTTTCAGTTTTGAATTTTTCGTTTTTAGGCTATTCGATTTCTCAATTTTTCGAATTCTCGACTTGTTTTCTCGATTTTTATATTTTAAATTTTTTAATAGGCATTTCAGTTTTTTGAATTTTCAATTGCCATGTTTTTTAACGCTTTTTGATTTCTCGATTTTTCAATATTTCAATTTTCGGAAAGCGTTTTTCCCGTTGGTTATCTGCCTTAAATATATTTTTTATAATTTTGCAAAGAACCGGGATTTGTTGGGCTGCTCTTCAGGGGCAAGGAAAGTTCTGTCGAAATAACCTTCGACCTATTTTTTGCTCCAGGTTGAGATAAAATTCGCCCGCACCGTGGACCTGTCGCCCTTGCACGACATGCTAAGGTCCAAAAAGTCTCCCCAAGATGCCCTCCAGTGTCTCGACATCGTCCTTCGTAACGCCCCTTCAAACAACTGCATCATAGCTGGAAGATGTTTCTTCACACCCCCAAGAGACGCAATAATTCCGCTAGGGGAAGGCATGGAGATGTACTACGGCTTCTACCAGTCGGCCATCAGGGGATGGAAACCTCTGCTGAACGTGGACGTCGCCCATAAAGCTTTTCCGAAAGCTCTAGAACTCCTGGATCTCATTTGTGAACTAGGGAGCGACTACAGGTTTACGATGGAAAGGAAAGATTTGAGGGGTAGAATCCACGACAACGTACTAAAAAGCGTTGAAAAGTTCATCAAACAGTTGAAAGTGAAGTACGAGATCAAGGGACAGAGTAGCTCGAAGAGGATCTATAGAGTTAACGGCTTCGGGGATTCACCCTCCCAGGCGAGGTTTAAACTAGAGGATGGCACTACCACCACCGTAGAAAAATATTTTGAGGTACTAACTAAGATTAACATTAACATGAACGTGAATTCTATAGTTTCTCGTTTTAGAATGTCAAACGCGTCAAACTCGCCTACCCCCACCTACCGACCGTGTGGGTCGGCGCCAAAGATCGCGAAAACAAGATCCTCCTTCCCCTGGAGTACTGCATGCTCGTGGAGGGTCAAACCGTCAACCGCAAGATGACCGAGAACCAAACCAGCGCTATGATCAAAAAATCTGCCACGTCGACCGACATCCGCAAGCAGAAGATCATGAAGTCGCTCGACGAAGTCAGGTACAACAACGATCCGTGCATTAGGGAGTTCGGTTTTTCGGTCAACAACCAGTTCGAGAGGTTGGACGCTCGCGTGCTCGAGCCGCCCACTTTGAAGTACAAGAACGACGCCACGGTGAAGCCGTCGAGGGGGGTTTGGAGGGCGGACAGACACAAGTTTCTGGTGGGGGCGACGATCAGACAGTGGACGATCGCGTCGGCGACGCGTAACCCGCCGAGGGGAATCGACTCGTTGGCCGATCAGGTAAGAAACACGGCGTCTAACATTTAGCGAAAACTCGGCTGTGATTGAGCGTCTACAATAAAAACGATAAATAACATAAATTAAAAAATTGATCAAGTTGGCATTATTTTTTTTGTATGTCTGCGCCGAAATTCAAATTTATGGTCGATCACACCTGTCGTCGATGACTAATCTAACCTCACTTTTTCCAACTGATAATAAGATTTTTTGATTGTTTACTTTTTTGTTTTTTCAAAATTTACGGATTTTTTTAATTTTCAGTTTTTCGATTCTTTACTTTTTCGATTTTTTTTGAATTCTAGATATTTTTTTCATTTTTGAATTTTTCGATTTTTCGACTTCTCTTAATCTTTTGAGGTTTCGATTTCCCGATGTTCCAGTTTTTTAATTTTGATTTTTCGGTTTTTCGATTTTTCAATTTTTCAGTTTTTCGATTTTTTAAATTTTCGATTTTTCAATTTCTCGGTTTTTCGACCCTTCGATTTTTCGATTTCTCAATTTTTGGATTTTTCGACTTCTGACTTCTCGCTTTCTCGATTTTTTGATGTTTCCTTTCTGGAGTATCAATTTTTCAATTTTGATTTCCCGGTTTTTCGGTTTTTCGAGTTTTTTATTTCTCGATTTTTCAATTTTTCAATGTTTCGGTTTTGCGATTTTTTGATTTTTTACTGTTTAACATTTTCAATTTTAAAATTTTTCGATTTTGCAATTTTTGGATTTCTCAATTATGCCATTTTTCGACTTCTTTTATATTCGATATGTCGATTTCACAATATTTCATTTTTTCAGTTTTGCACTTTTCGATTTTTAAGTTTCTCATATTTTTATGTTTCGGTTTTTCAATTTCGGATTTTTAATTTTTCAATTTTTCAATTTCCCTACTTCCAGATTTTTGATTTTTTCATTTCTTTAATGTTTTGAGTTGGAATTTTTCAATTTGGCAATTATTCGATTTTTCAATTTTTCGTTTCTTTTGTTTTTCATGTTTTTGATTTTTATTTTTCAATTGCTCAATTTGACTTTTTTTGATTTTTTAATTTTTCGTTTCTTTAGTTTTTCAAGTTCTTATTTATTATTTTTATTTTTTTGATGTCTAATTTTTCTTCAGTTTTTGATTTTTCAATTTTTCGTGTCTCCAATTTTTCAAGTTATAATTTTTTGTTTTCTCGATTTCTAATTTTTCAATTTTCCGGTTTTACAATTGTTTGATATTACAATTTTTTGATTTTCCGTGTTTCGATTTTTTAGTTTGTCAATTTTTAATTTTTTAGTTTGTTGAGTTTTCATCTTAAGACATCGAGATTTTTGAAAAAAAAAAGTTGATAAACAATTTTTCGATTTTTTTCTTTCTGATTTTTCAATTTTTCAATTTCTGGACTCTTCGATTTTTCGACTCAAAGTTTTAAGTTTAAATTTTTTAATTTTGGGTTATTTGATTTTTTATTTTAGGCTATTCGATTTCTCAATTTTTTAATTTTTCGACTTCAAACTTCTGGCTTTTTCGATTTTTCGACTTTTCAATTTTTCGATGTTACAGTTTTGCGATTTTTTATATTTCCACTTTTGATTTCTTGATTTTTTGATTTCTCGATTTTTCAAATTTTTTTAATTTTGAATTTGAACCTAAATTTTTGATTTTTTTGATGTTTTGATTTTTCGATCTTTCCATTTTTCAATTTCTTGCTCTTAGATATTTCGGTTTTTCAATTTTTGGATTAAAAAAAAAACGTTCTTTTTTTGTCTTTTTGATTTTTCGATTTCTGGATTTTTTCTTTTTCGATTTTTGAATTCTTCAATTTTTCAATTTTTTTAATTTTTAAATTGTAGATTTTCCATTATTTTAATTTCCCGATTTCTCAATGTTTCGATTTTTCGACTTCTCACTTTTATGTTTTTGAGTTTTTCAATTTTTGTTTTTAAAATTTTTGATTTTTCGGTTATTACATTTTTTAATTTCTCGATTTATCGTTTTTTAAGGTTAAAATTTTCGATTTTGAATTTTTCAATTTTGGGCTGTTTGATTTCTCAATTTTTTGATTTTTCGATTTCTGGTTTTTTCAACCTTTTGATGTTTCGATTTCTCGATTTTTTAATTTCGATTTCTCGGTTTGCCGATTTTTAGTTTTTCAAATTTTCCAACATTTCAGTTATGAGATTCTAATTTCTGTATATTTCAGTTTTTCGATTTTTGATTCTCAATTTTTCAACTTTTCGATTTTTCGATGTTTTAGTTTTGGAATTTTCCAATATTTCGATTATTCAGTCATTCGATTTTCTGACTTTTTACTTTTTTGATTTTTCAAAATTTCGCGATTTTTTTAATTTTGGATTTTTTCAGTTTCCAGTTTTTTGAGTTTCTCGGTTTTTCGATTTTTCAGTTTCAATTCTTCAATTTTTCGATTTTTTAAATTTTAGGTATTTCGATTTCTCGACTTTTCGATGTTCCAATTTTTCAGTTTTTCAATTTTCCAATTTCTCGGTTTTTCGACTCTTTGATCTTTCGATTTCTCAATTTTTTAATTTTTCGACTTCTGACTTCTCGCTTTCTCGATTTTTTTTATATTGCATTTCTGGACTCTCAATTTATCAATTTTGATTTCCCGGTTTTTCGATTTTTCAATTTTTCGATGTTTCGGTTTTGCGATTTTTCAATATTTCGATTTTTCATTTTTTCTAATTTTTGATGTTTTGAGTTCCCGATTTTTCAAAATTTTTCGATTTTTTACATTTTAGATTTTTCAGTTTTCAATTTTTTTCAATTTTTCGATGTATTAGTTTGTTGAGATTTTATATTAGACATCGAGATTTTTGAAAAAAAGACAAAGTTGATTAACAATTTTTCGATTTTTTTGTCTTTTTGATTTTTCGATTTCTCAATTCTCGACTCTTCGATTTTTCGATTTCTCGATTTATCGTTTTTTTTTTAGTTTAATTTTTTTTAATTTTTCGATTTTTGACTTCTGGCTTTCTCGATTTTTTGATGGTTCATTTCTGAATGTCTCAAGTTTTCAATTTCGATTTCTCGGTTTTTCGATTTTTCGACTTTTCGACAATTTTGGGTGTTTGATTTCTCAATTTTTTGATTTTTCTCGATGTTTTCATTTCGATTTCTCGGTTTACCGATTTTTAGTTTTTCAAATTTTCCAACATTTCAGTTTTGAGATTTTAATTTCTCTATGTTTCAGTTTTTCGATTTTTCAACTTTTCGGTTTTTCGATTATTCAATCATTCGATTTTCTGATTTTTTACCTTTTTGATTTTTCAAAATTCCGCGATTTTTTAAATTTTGGATTTTTTTAGTTTCCAGTTTTTCGAATTTCTCGGTTTCTCGATTTTTCAGTTTTTCGATTTTCCAATTTTTTCGACATTTCAGTTTTAGGATATTTAATTTCTCGACTTTTCAATTTTTCGATTCTTTAATTTTTCAGTTTTTCGATTTTTTAAATTTTCCATTTTTCGATTTTTCGGTTTTCGACTCTTCAATTTTTCGATTTCTCGGTTTACCGATTTTTAGTTTTTCAAATTTTCCAACATTTCAGTTTTGAGATTTTAATTTCTCTATATTTCAGTTTTTCGATTTTTCAACCTTTCCGTTTTTCGATTATTCAATCATTCGATTTTCTGATTTTTTACTTTTTTGATTTTTTAAAATTTCGCGATTTTTTAAATTTTGGATTGTTTCAGTTTCCAGTTTTTCGAATTTCTCGGTTTCTCGATTTTTCAGTTTTTCGATTTTCCAATTTTTTCGACATTTCAGTTTTAGGATATTTAATTTCTCGACTTTTCAATTTTTCGATTCTTTAATTTTTCAGTTTTTCGATTTTTTAAATTTTCCACTTTTCGATTTCTCGATTTATCGTTTTCTTTTTTAAGTTTAAATTTTTCAATTTTGAATTATTCGATTTTTTATTTTGAGCTATTCGATTTTTTGATGTTTCATTTTTTCAATTTCGATTTCTCGGTTTTTCGACTTTCCGTTTTTTTTTTATTTTTTACTATTCAACTTTTTTAAATTTTGAATTTTTCAGTTTTTTGATGTTTTGACTTCTAGATTTTTGAAAAATTTTCGAAATTTTATGTTGTAATTTTTCAAATTTTTTAATGTTTCGAGTTCTCGATCTTCCGATTTTTCAACTTCTTACTTAGATATTTCGGTTTTTCCATTTTTCGATTTTTAAAATTTTTCAGTTTTCGATTTTTCAATTTTTCGATTTCTCGATTTATCATTTTTTTTTTAGTTTAAATTTTTTATTTTTTCGACTTTTGACTTCTGGATTTCTCGATTTTTTGATTTTTCGACTTTTCAATTTTTCGATGTTACAGTTTTGCGATTTTTCAATATTTCGACTTTTCGATTTCTTGATTTTTTGATTTCCCGATTTTTCAGATTTTTTTAAATTCTGAATTTGAATTTAAATTTTTCATTTTTTTGATGTTTTTCGATCTTTCCATTTTTCAAATTCTTGCTCTTAGATATTTCGGTTTTTCAATTTTTCGATTTTTAAAAAATTTTTCGTTTTTTTGTCTTGATTTTTCGATTTCTTGATTTTTACTTTTTCGATTTTTGAATTCTTCGATTTGTCAATTTTTTTAATTTTTAAATTGTAGTTTTCTCACTATTTTGATGTTCCGATTTCTCAATCTTTCGATTTTTCGACTTTAATTTTTAGATTTTTCAGTTTTTCAATTTTTGTTTTTTAAATTTTTGATTTTTCGGTTATTATATTTTTCGATTTCTCGATTTATCGTTATTTAAGGTTAAAATTTTAGATTTTGAATTTTTCAATTTTGGGCTGTTTGATTTCTCAATTTTTTGATTTTTCGATTTCTGGCCTTCTCAACCTTTTGATGTTTCGATTTCTCGATGTTTCAATTTTTCAATTTCGATTTTTCGGTTTGTCGATTTTTAGTTTTTCAAATTTTCCAGCATTTCAGTTTTGAGATTTTAATTTCTCTATATTTCAGTTTTTCGATTTTTCGATATCTCAATTTCTCAAGTTTCCCGATTAATCGATTTTTTTCGATTTTTCGATGTTAGTTTTGGAATTTTTCAATATTTCGATTATTCAGTCATTCGATTTTTGATTTTTTACTTTTTTGATTTTTCAAAATTTCGCGATTTTTTAAATTTTGGATTTTTCCAGTTTTCAATTTTTCGATTTTCTTGATGTTTTTATTTCTCCATTTTTCAGTTTTTCTACTTCAATTTTTCGATTTTTCAATTTGTTGAATTTTTGAATTTTAGATGTTTCAGTTTTTGATGTTTCGATTTCTCCATCTTTCGATTTTTCGACTGCTCGATCATTCATTGTTTCGATTTCTCAATGTTTCAATTTTCTTAATTTCGATTTCTGGATTTTTTGATTTTTGGACGTTTCAATTTTCCAATTTTTCGACATTTCAGTTTTACGATATTTAATTTTTCGACTTTTCGATTTCTAAATTTCTGGATTAACCAAATTTTTGATTTTTCGATTTTTCGATTTTTTGGTTTTTCGACCCATCAATTTTTCCATTTCTCGAATTATCGTTTTCTTGTTTTAAGTTTAAATTTTTCAATTTTGAATTATTCGATTTTTTATTTTGAGCTGTTCGATTTTTCGACTTCTAACTTCTCGCTTCTCGATTTTTTGATGTTTCATTCCTAGTTGTTTCAGTTTTTCAATTTCGATTTCTCGGTTTTTCGACTTTCCTATTTAACTTTTTTAAATTTTGGATTTTTCAATTTTTTGATGTTTTAATTTCTAGAATTTTAAAAAATTTTCGAAATTTTATATTGTAATTTTTCAAATTTTTTGAATTTGTAATTTTAAATTTTTAATTTTTTTTGATGTTTGGAGTTCTCGATCTTCCGATTTTTCAACTTCTTACTTAGATATTTCGGTTTTTCAATTTTTCGATTTTTAAAATTTTTCAATTTTCGACTTTTCAATTTTTCGATTCAATTTCTCGAGTTTTAAAATTTTCATTTTCTGGATCTTTTAATTTTTCGAATTCTCAATTTTCCGATATTTCAGTTCTACGTTTTTTCAATTTTTCGATTCTTAAATTTTTCTATTTTACATTTCTTCAGTTTTTGGAGTTTCTAAATTTCAGATTTTTCGAGTTTTCATTTCTCAATTAATCAATTTTTTTTTTTTGGTTTTTCGATTTTGCGACTTTTGAATTTTTCGATTTTTCAACTTTCCAATTTCTCGAAATTAATTTTTCAATCTCGATTTTTCGATGTTCCAATTTTGGGATTTTTCAATATTTGGATTTTTGAATTTTTCCATTTTTCACCTTTTTGATTTTCCGATTTCGCGATTTTTCAAATTTTAAAATTTTTCAATTTTTCGATTTCTCGGTTTATTAGTTTGTTGAGTTTTATCTTAGACATCATGATTCATGAAAACAAAAAACAAAGTTGGATAACAATTTTTCGACTTTTTTATCTTTTTGATTTTTCCATTTCTCGATTTTTCGTGTTTCGATGTTTCGGTTATTTAATTCCTCGATTAATATATAGAATTTTAAGTTTAAATTTTTCAATTTTTAGTTATTCGTTTCTTTATTTCGGGCTATTCGATTTCTTATTTTTTTGATGTTTTGATTTTCCGATTTTTCAAAGTTTTTTGAATTTCGAATGTTGCATTTTGAATTTAAAAAAATTTTCATTTTTCAATTTTTCGATTTCTCTATTATTTTGTTCAGTTTTTATTCTAGACATCGAGATTTTTGGAAAAAAGAGTTGAATAACAATTTTTCGATTTTTTGGTCTTTTTGATTTTTCGATTTTTAGATTTCTCGATTTATTGTTTTTTAAGGTTAAAATTTTCAATTTTGAATTTTTCGAATTTGGGCTGTTTGATTTCTCGATTTTTTGGTGTTTCATTTCTAGTTGATTCAGTTTTTTAATTTAGATTTCTCGGTTTTTCGACTTTTCAATTTCTCAATTTTTCGATGTTTCGGTTTTGTGATTTTTCAATATTTCGACTTTTCTATGTTTTGATTTCTCGATTTTTACAAATTTTTCGATATTGTATATTGTAATTTTTGGATTTTTACAAATTTTTATAACTTTAGATTTTTTTTGATGTTTAGATTTTGCGATCTTTCGATTTTTCAACTTCTTGCTTTGATATTTCGGTTTTTCAGTTTTTCGATTTCTCCATTTATTAGTTTTTTAAGTTAAAATTTTTCAACTTTGAATTTTTCGATTTTGGTCCGTGTTGAGTTTTTATCCTAGAGATTGAGATTTTTAGAAAAAAAGACAAAATTGAATAACAATTTTTTGATTTTTTTGTCTTTTTCGATATATTAGTTTGGGGATTTTACAATTTGTCGATTCTTCAATTTCTCGAATTTTAAAATTTTCATTTTCCCGATCTTTTTATTTTTCGTATTCTCAATTTTCCGATATTTCAGTTTCACGTTTTTTCAATGTTTCGAGTGTTCATTTCTCAATAAATCTTTTTTTTTTGGTTTTTCGAGTTTTCGATTTTGCGACTTTTGAATTTTTCGATTTTTCAACTTTCCAATTTCTCGATTTTTATTTTCCAAACTCAATCTTTCGATATTTCAATTTTGGGTTTTTTCAGTATTTCGATTTTTCAACTTTTTGATTTTCCGATTTTTTCTCCAGTTCTTCGATTGTTGGAGTTTCTAAATTTCCGATTTTTCGATCTCCCACTTTCTCCATAAATACATTTTTTTGATTTTCGACTCTTATTCGATTTTTTGATTTTTACTTCTTCAATTTTTTGAAATTTTAAATTTTTCACATTTTTGATGTTTTTGGTGCTTCGGTCCAATTACTACATTTCGTGATCCAGATAATGCACAAAATTTAGATCGCAGGATTTTGTTCCAACAAGATGGGGTATCACCACATTATGGGGTAAATGTAAGGGTTTTTTAGATAATAAATTTGATGGAGAGGGATTGGAAGGCGTGGACCAATAGAATGGCCACCAGGTCTCCCGGATCTAACACTCCTTGATTTGATTGTTTTTTTATGGGGACATTTAAAAAGTCCTGTTTACATGAACAGGACTTGGTCTTAGTAGTGGGTACTAATAGTAATAATAGTAATAATAATGATATTGTTCAGATCGCACGCATGGCCCCCAACGCCGGGATGAACCTTGAATCAAGCGCCGTCAAGCCCTTCATGCACATCGGCGGCCGCCAGACCCTCAAGGACTTCATCGAGTACTTCCAGAATAAGAAGGACTACGACCTCATCTTCGTCGTGGTCCCCAACAGCGGCTGCATCTACTCGTACGTCAAGCAAGCCGCCGAACTAAACGTCGGCTGCCTCACCCAGTGCATCAAAGAGCGCACCCTCAACAAGCTCAACCCGCAGACGGTGGGCAACATCCTCCTCAAGGTCAACAGCAAGCTCAACGGCACCAACCACGCCATCAACGGCAACTCGCGCCCGGCCATCATGCAGCGCCCTTGCATGATCATGGGGGCGGACGTCACCCACCCCAGCCCCGACGCCAAGGACATCCCCAGCGTGGCGGCGGTGACGGCGTCGCACGACCCCCAAGCCTTCCAGTACAACATCTGCTGGCGCCTGCAGCCGCCCAAGGTGGAGATCATCGAAGACCTGTGCAACATCACGCGGGAGCAGCTGCTGTTCTTCTTCAAGAAGAACAACTGCAAGCCGGAGAGGATCGTCTTCTTCCGGGACGGGGTGTCGGAGGGCCAGTTCCAGGAGGTGCAGCGGGCCGAGATCTCGGCGATCCAGAAGGCGTGCAAGTCGTTGCAGAAGGAAGGGTACGAGCCTAAGATAACGTTTCTGGTGGTGCAGAAACGGCATCACACGAGGCTGTTCCCGATGGACTCGAGGGACTCTGAAGATAGGAATATGAACGTGCCGGCGGGGACGTGCGTGGACTCGATGATCACGAATCCGATGATGCAGGATTTCTACTTGGTGTCGCACGCGAGTATCCAGGGGGTGGCCAAACCGACGAAGTATTGCACACTGTGGGACGACAACAAACTGAACCATGACGACATCGAGGAGTTGACGTACCATTTGTGTCACATGTTCACGAGGTGCAATAGGTCGGTGAGTTATCCGGCGCCGACGTACTACGCGCATTTGGCCGCCGCGAGGGCGAAGGTCTACATCGAGAACGACAAGTTGAATATGACGGAGTTGAATCGGCATCAGCAGAATTATCAGATCAAGGAGTGCATTTCCAAGGATAAGCCCATGTTTTTCGTCTAGAGTAGGTGCTATAGTTGCTGGTAGAGGCTGCTTTATCGTGGATACAATCAATATGCCTTTGTTATACTTATACAGAATAAAAGTTATATAATAGTTTGTGTTTTATTAGGTTTTCTTCCATACAAATTGGTTATAAAATCATCGGTTAAAACAAGTTGAAACCTTTTACGGTATTTATAACTTGGAAATCGCTGCAACCATTAATGATTACGTTTCTGACATTCCTGATTGTCTAATTTTTACTTCCCGAGCGTAAGCTATAACATTTTCAAGATTAACTTTACAATATTTAAACAAATTGCTTTGTGAAAATGTATAGCTTTGACCGATCAACTTCAACCGTTTCGAAATTTTTTCCAAAATTTAAACATTGTCGAGTAAACGAATCACGGAACCCGATAAATTAAAACTGAAGTTGTACTTACTTCGTTTTCAGTCCTTTTCGGAAAAATATCCATTTTCATTTGTGTTCACAGCACCAACACAACACTAATATTTATTAATAATAAATTATAAATTCGTCAGATCCGTCAAAAATATCCAAATTTGATTTGTTTAAATTTACAAATGACGCACATTTTTTATTTTTTGATCTTTGAAATTAAAATTACTTTTGCCAAGTCGGTGAAAACAGTCTTCAGAGAAGTCAAAATTTAGCTTTACAAGATCAAAAATTTATTGCTCGCTATAAAATTTTTAAAATGGAAATTAAATTCTATTTTGACAAACAATGAATCTATGATTTAAAACTAAGTTAAAAATGGCCCCTCTCACCCACCCCTATTCCATTTTGACCATTCATTCTTATTGGCTCTGAAGAAAGAATTTCAGGAGTTTTCCATTTTTAATTTCACTTTTCGATTTTTCAAAGTTTCATTTTCTCGGTTAGTATTTGCTAATATAAAACTGATTTTGGCAAAGGAAATATTCTTTGAGAAAAGAGAGGGCGGGTGGGCGGGCCTAATACATGCCAAGATAAAAGTGATTTTGGCAAATGACATACACTATAAGAAAACAGCGCGCGGTTGGGCGGGGCTAATATTTGCTAAGGTAAGATTCCACAATAGTAAGACTATTTGACGCTTTATTTGACAGTTATTTGACCATAGCTGTCAAACTAAGGAAAGACTCTGTCGGTGTTGCCAAAATCATTATTATAAAAAGAAAATTCATGGTCTACTAGAAGAATTTTTTTCGATCATATGTTATAATCTACTTCTTACTTGTTTTTTCTTAATTTTAAATAATGAAGAATTTTTAATAATTCATGATTTTTGAGAAAAAGAGTCGAACTTTTGTGGTTTTATGTCACATTGTGTTTTTTTTTAGAAATTTAGTGTCTCAAAAATTGTCAGAGTCCTTCATGAAATTAATTTTTAAAATTCTTAGTAGTACACAAAAATTAAGTCACCACGGAACCGATGGTTTACAAATTAACATCTTAAGTCGATTGACAGCGATGACGTGAAGTTTTTAGTAACTATTTTTTCACAAATTTTCCATTTTTAATTATTCACTTTTCGATTTTTCAATTTTTAACGTCTTCAATTTTTCGAACTGCGTTTTTTCAATTTTTCTTTGTTCTCAGTATTTGCTAAGACAAAACTGATTTCGGCAAATGATATATCCTCTAAGGAAGGGAGGGCGGGTGGGCGGGCCTTGTACATGCTAAGATAAGATTAATTTTGGCAAATCACATACAGTCCAAGAAGATAGAGGGCGGGTGGGTGGGGCTAGTATTTGCTAAGACATGACTGCAAAGTAATAAGTGTAGTCACTGGAATGAAGGGGAAGTCAGTGGGCGGGGCTATTACTTGCTTACAAGACTCTTAAAAAAAATAGTTAAACTCAGCTCCGCCCACCTTTTCTCTCTATTTGACTGACTTATTTTATTTTCTGTACACTGGAAATTGAATTCTATTTTGACAAACGGAAGAATCTAAGATTTAAAACAAGTCAAAAGTGCCCATCCACCCGTCCGCCGTCTATTTTCTTTGAGGGTACGTCATTTGCCAAAATCAGTCTTATCTTACTTAACAGGTACTAAACCCACCCACCCACCCTCTGTTTTCTTAGGGAGTATGTCATCTACCAAAATCAGTCTTACCTTAGCAAGTACTAGCCCTACTTTTAAGCCAAACCGGAGTTCCGATGTTGCTGCCATTAGACCGAAATCTAAACTGAACACAAGGGACCGAAAAATGCGACCTTTGAACAGGTAGCTCACGTGACATTGACGTCATCGTACGTCTCGATGGGATTGCAAAAATTCGCTTTCTTATTTTGGCCGGGAAATTGCACATTTTCGGGGTTAATTTAATAATATTTAAACAAATTGCTTTGTTTTTAATAACTTTGCGTTTTGAAGAAAACGGTGTTCGATTTAATTATCATATATTAATACTTATCGTATTTAAACATTATAAATAATATTAATTATGTTTAAATATTATTTAATTATATCGTGAAAATGTATAGCTTTGCTCGACCAATTTCAATCGTTTCGAAAATTTCCCCTAAATTTAAACTTTGTCGAGGAAACGAATCACGGAACTCGATAAATTAAAACTGAAGTCGTACTTACTTCGTTTTCAGTCCTTTTCGGAAAAGTATCCATTTTCATTTGTGTTCACAGCACCAACACAACACATTTTCACTAATATTTATTAATAATAAATTATAAATTCGTCAGATCCGTCAAAAATATCCAAATTTGATTTGTTTAAATGACGCACATTTTTAATTTTTTGATCTTTGAAATTAAAATTACTTTTGCCAAGTCGGTGAAAACAGTCTTCAGAGAAGTCAAAATTTAGCTTTACAAGATCAAAAACTTATTGCTCGCTATAAAATTTTTAAATTTTTTTTAAAATGGAAATTAAATTCTATTTTGACAAACAATGAATCTATGATTTAAAACTAAGTAAAAAATGGCCCCTCTCACCCACCCCTATTCCATTTTGATCATTCATTCTTAATTCTTATTGGCTCTGAAGAAAGAATTTCACGAGTTTTCCATTTTTAATTTCACTTTTCGATTTTTCAAAGTTTCATTTTTTCGGTTAGTATTTGCTAATATAAAACTGATTTTGGCAAAGGAAATATTCTTTGAGAAAAGAGAGGGCGGGCCTAATACATGCCAAGATAAGAGTAATTTTGGCAAATGACATACACTCTAAGAAAATAGCGGGCGGTTGGGCGGGGCTAATATTTGCTAAGATAAGACTGCACAATAATAAGAATAGTCACTGGAAAGAAGAGGGAGACAGTGGGCGGGGCTACCACTTGCTTACAAGACTCTTAAGAAAAAAGCTAAACTCAGCTCCGCCCACTTTTTTTTTTCTATTTCACTGACTTATTTTATTTACTGGACAGTGGGAATTGATTTCTATTTTGACAAACGGTGGAATCTAAGATTTAAAAAAAGTAAAAAGTGACCCCTCCCGCCCACCCCTATTCCTTTTTGATCATTCGCTCTTATTGGCTCTGAAGAAAGAATTTCACGAGTTTTCAAATTTTAATTAATCAGTTTTCGATTTTTCAATTTTTGACGTCTTCAATTTTTTGGACGGAAATTTTTCAATGTTTCATTTTTTTGTTAGTATTTGCTAAGATAAAACTGACTTTGGCAAATGACATATTCTTTAAGGAAAGAGAGGGCGGGTGGGCGGGCCTAGTACATGCTGAGATTAGACTAATTTTGGCAAATCACATACACTAAGAATATTGAGGGCGGGTGGGTGGGGCTAGTATTTGCTAAGGTAAGACTGCACAATAATAAGAGTCGTCACTGGAAAGAAGAGGGAGACAGTGGGCGGGGCTACCACTTGCTTACAAGACTCTTAAGAAAAAAGGTATACTCAACTCCGCCCACCCTTTTTCTCTACTTCTCTGACTTATTATATTTACTGTACAGAGGGAATTGAATTCTATATTGACAAGCGGTAGAATCTAAAATTTGAAACAAAGTCAAAAGTGGTGCATTTTTTTAATTCTTCTTTTTTTTGTTAGTATTTGCTAAGCTAAAACTGAATTTGGCAAATGACATATCCTCTGAGAAAAGAGAGAGTGGGTGGGCGGGCCTAGTATGACTAATTTTGGCAAATGACATACTCTAAGAAAATTGAAGGCGGATGGACGGGGCTAGTATTTGCTAAGGTAAGATTCCACAATAATAAGACTATTTGACGCTTTATTACTTCCCGAGCGTAAGCAAAGGAAGTATTGTAATCGAGTCCGTCGGCCGACTCTCTACTTTTACGTTTTCTCGATCTTTCATGACCCCTAGAAGACGAAGAAATAGGTCTCCCATTTCCGTCTGTCTGTCCGTCTGTCCGTCTGTCCGTCCGTCTGTCCGTCTGTCCGTCTGTCCGTCTGTCCGTCTGTCCGTCCGTCTGTCCGTCTGTTGTCCCGGATTTTTATTAGACAGATAATCTCCGAAAGTACTCGACCGATTGTTGTGAAATTTTGTACTTATATTAAGAATATCATGTAGATGGTAAAACGCTAACCAAAATTTGTCTAATCATCCCCACCACTAATGCGATGACGTCACTTCAAAATTGTACATAGTAAATGGGTTTTCAATTGTATAAAATAACATAGTCCTACACATGTAGTTTACAACTCTGAATCGACTTTTCACCCGAAACGTCCAGATTTTTGGAAAAAAAATCAAAATTATAAAACAACATTTTGAAATTTAATTTTTAATCTGCTAACCAGAATGCTTTGAAATGTTGCAGATGTTTTAAGGCTATAAAGAGCATCATAAATCTTTAGTCAAAAAATATTTGCTTATCCCCTCCAAAAACTTGATGACGTCAGCTCAAAAGTTTGTGGAATAAATCATATCTAAAATGTACAAAATATGATGAGTCTGTACTTGTGATCTATCACTCCATTCATATTTTTTGGATTTGCATATACAGGGTGACTCAAAAAAATTAATGAATGCGTAAATATATTTTATTGATTTAATCAGGAACTACAAAACCGAATGCTCTGAAATCTTGCAGATGTTTTAAGGTCATAAAGAGCATAATAAATGTTTAGTCAAAATATATTTGCTTATCCCCTCCAAAAACTTGATG